AGGCGTCCACTTACAATAATAAGAACGAAATCATATAATATATATTTGCATCTAAATCACAAATATGTTTTCACAAAAATATGTAATAAAAAATATGACTGCCAAAATTAAATAAAATTATCAACACTTTAATATTTTAACTAATTGTAAGAATGAGCTTTTTAATATTACCTATCATGGGGACATAGATAAAATAAACATAGAACAAATGAGCTTAACTCTGTATTAGTGTTTTTAGCGTATCACAGATGGTGCTGGTGTGCCATTATTGATACAATTATTAAAAAAAAACAATAATTTAAAAGTATCATTGTGTTAAAAATTCATATGTTTGGCATTGGATACGGAATATTTACTCAAGTCATTGGAGCGTTTTGGGTCTTAATTTTTTTTTTACTGTGCTCCAATTTGTATGAAATTTTGAAATTAGGTTCATCTTACTTTCAAGTTCGAAAATGAAAATAAGGTAGACTCCTTTGCCACTTCTCGGGGAATGAAAAATGTTTCATAATGTTTTTCAAAAAAGGAAATACTTTTCAAGTTACTGCCTGAAAATTCGTTTCTCTTTGGCGCTTTTCATCGTTTTTTGCAAATATATCCAAAAATATACTTTTTAACAAAAATCATGTAATGAACAAAATTATATCAATTAAAATCTTAATAAATCGCTATTTTATAATGTCTTAGGAACAATCTATTAAAGATATGAAAAAGCCAAGTCGTTTTTTTATTTTGTTCAAAATTTAATTGTTGTATTCGAAGCCATCTAGCGGCGAGGGGTTACATTTTATATATTCCATGGGGTTTTATAGTGCTCAAAATAAGCTTTAAAATGAGTACGGTTAATCACGTGATCAAAATTACCCCTTTTCGCCCACCAAACATCAGGTGTATTTTTAGTTACGAGAAAAAATGGTGAATTTTTTTATTTTTTTTGAAAATGTTCAGATTTAAAAAAAAAATCATGTAAAAATAAATCACGTGATAACTTACTACATTTGTCCCTCCCTCCACGTGATTAATACCTCACGTGATTAATGGACGCCTCCTAAGGGTCTGTTTTTTTTTCATTTAAATCAAATAGTTTTATGAGTACCATTTCCACCAAAATTAAAATTAATCGCATTTCATCTAGATTTAACTTTGTTCAAGAGATTCCAAAATATCATGCAAATTAGAGCACAGTAAAAAAGTTCACATGTTAAACCCTCTTTTCCTCTCCATTTATTGTACTAATTTAGTTGATCGTAAATTGAATAGTGCACATGAACAGGATTTGACTAATTAATTCACTTAAGTAATGATATATATTGAATTATTATTAACAAAAATGTAATTTTGATTTTATGATTGCTGAAAACATTTAATATGCAGTACGAGATTATAAAAATTATGGGCAACATTATTGTAGCTATTATTTTGAGTGAAATGATCCAAGGTGATATTGTACCTTCACCGTGGATATTATATATTAATTCTTTCTATATTCGTTATACTGGCAGATAGGCAGACGATGAATTTTTGTAAGGACTAACTAACACATTGAGAACTGATAGAAACAAATCATAATTTGTGAAAATAAAATAGGTGCACCGAGAGTAGCAAATCATCAACGTACTACCAGAAAGAGAGACACATTTAGACTTCTTTTTTTCTCAAAGAAGGGTTGATGAGATGCAGTGCTCTTGTTTCCAAATCAATATTGTCAATATCGTTTTTACAAGTACCCTCTACTCGTAGTACCTCTACCTATCTACTTATCATCTCACACAAAAACCAGTTTGCACGTACCAGAGCTTACCAGCTGATGATAATCCGAATGCGATCGACCGATCGGCCGCATCCGAAGGAATGAAAGTCGTTTGGAAATCATAACCGAGTTACGTCTACGTGCCCGACCTGACCTTCGGGGGCTCCCGACGACTCGATATTATTGGATATTCTATATTGTATATACTGGATGAGAATAAACTGGTTCCGAATATAATGGATAAAACAGACGGACGGACGGACGGACGGACAGACAGAAGTGATAGTCGATATAGCGTCAACACTCTGGTATGTAGGTAGAAGGACGAGGTGGGGACGTTCTGTACCATCGGGTACAGAATTATTATTAGTGGTATATTAAAATATTTTAAACTAAGTGTAAGTGTTATTCTGTCTTAAAAACAGACGGACGGACAGACAGAAGTGATAGTCGATATACCGTCAACACTGTGGTATGTAGAGAGGGACCTTGTGCCCCATCGGGCAATACTAAGGATTCAGTTGGTCAAATCATATCAATTAATTTGTTTTATAAAATAGTACTTCGCATCAACAATCGACTTGTCCGAGAAAAAATCAGATTTAGCTGTCTAGATAAAAATTTAAACTGTTTATTTCTAGAAATAAAAGACTAGAGTGTCGTTGTACCATCGGGCAATAGTAAGGATTATACCAACTATTTTAATATTAAAATATAGTAAACTAGTAATCTGATTTTACCTTGAGGACCTCATAGATAAAATCAATAAAAATCCAGAATTAGCTATTAAGATAAAAAATTTTAGCTGTTTATTTCAAAAATAAAGACCGATAGGGACGTTGTGCCTCATTGGGCAACACTAAAGATTTTATCTCAAGAGTTGTGCTAATTACAGATATTGATGAAATCTGTAATAATTGAAGACACTTTACAATTTTGGTATTTATTTTGTAGAATTGGTATTTGGTTTATTATTTATTACGATACTCGGTTCGAGTCCTGGCACTGACATACAATTGTCATCTAATTTGAATTTGAATAAAATTAGAGGTAAAAAGAAAATATCTAGATTTGCAGGTGAGAAGATAAGATTTAGAAGAAAAAATAAGAATGGAGAATTTAGTTGTAAATACAGAAAGAATATAAAAATTAAATGTTGTATGTGGCTAAACAAAATCAAAACAAAATAATTTAGAATGTAATTTTAAAATAGAGACTAAAATTAGTTGTGTATAAAAATTGGAACTGTTTATGGACTATAAAATCAAATTTGCTCGGTCAGTAGCAAAAAAGACTTAATGAAGAATGAATGAATGAAAAGAATGAATAATACAAAAAATTATACTAACGAACAAATTAGGATTATCTTAAGTAAGAGGAAAAAGAACTCTACTGACGAGCAAACTGAAAATTTACTCAACATAGAAAATAACTCTGCAGATGAGCAAACTAAATATAAAAGCAGAGTCTGAGGTCATCCTAAAGATTTAATTAAATAATTTAAAAAATCTACTTACGAGAAAATTTAAGTTAGAGAAAAAAGAACTTTACTGACGATCTTGTCGAAAAATTGGTTTAAGAGAAAAAGAACTTTACTAACGAGGAAATAAAAAATTATCTCAATGTAGAGAATAAAAAAAAAATCTACTGACGAGTTAATCGAACTCTGCTGAAATCTAAATAAAGTAACTCTACTGACGCTCAAAATAAAAATTCTCTGAAATAAACTTTACTGACTACCAAATTCAATCTCAACTTCATCAAGTTGGATAAATAATTTTTACTGACAAACATATTGAAAATTCAATTAAGTGGAAAAAGGACTCTACTGACGAGCTTCAAGAAAAATTTGTTAAAGATAAAAAAAATCTACCGATGAACTTGAAAATTTGGTAAGTGACAAAAAATGGAACTCTACTGACGAGCAAATGAGAAAATTCTCTCAAATTAGAGATATAAGTCTCTACAAAAAAAGAGATAAGAAACCATACTGACGAGCAAATTAAAAATTCTCTCAAGTTAGTAAAAAAATGCATTTAACACAAAAAACCTTTAGACTCCTCACACAATTTTAGTAAAATTGTTGAAATTTGATAAAAATAAGTTAAATAACAATATAAAACGTGCATAACAAATAGCATTATAATTAAATTTTTGTGCCAAAATCTAAAATTTATCCTTAACGTCCTTAAACATAACCTTAAAAAAATCTTTTTAGTGTATAAAAATATAATTTTAACTCATATATAGGAAGAAATGCAGATTAAATTGTTTTATCAAAATTCGACTAGAATTTTGGATTTTGGTAAACAAAATTGAATTTAGCAAAAAAAATCCTTTGGACTTCTTCACACAATTTGTGTAAAATTATTTAAATTTGATTATAGTTTTAAAAAAAAAGTGTTAAATAACTATATATAAATATAACCAAAATAACAATTACACAAAAAATAGCATTATAATTCAATTTTTGTGTCAAAATCAAAAAAATTATCCCCAAAGTCCTTAAACATAACCTCAAATTTTTTTGACAATTTTGACATAAATAACATGTAAAAGGATCTTATACCAAAAATATAATATCAACTTATATTTCAAAATAAAATACAAAATGAAAATTGAATTGATTTAGCAAATTTTGACTATTTTGAATTTTGGTAAACAAAAATTAATTCAACAAAAAAATCCTTTGGACTTCATATGCAATTTTAGTAAAATTATTTAAATTTGATTGTAATTTGCAAACAATGTATAAAATAGTAATATAAAACGTCCAAAACAACAATTACACAAAAAATAATAAATAATAATATAATTCATCCCTATAGTCTTTAAGCATAACCTCAAATTTTTTTGACAATTTTGACACAAAAACATGCAAAAGGATCTTATACCAAAAATATAATATCAACTTATATTTCAAAATGAAATACAAGATGCAATTTAAATTGTTTTAGCAAAATTTGATTAGAATTTTGGATTTTAGTTGAAAAAAAATGAATTTAACAAAAAATCCTTTGAGCTTCTCATACAATTTGTGTAAAATTGTTTAAATTTGATTATAGTTTGTAAATAATATATAAAATAACAATATAAAGCGTCCGAAACAATAATAACACAAAAAACTATATAAAAATAGCCTTACAAAACAATTTTAGTACTAAAATCTCCTAAAATCCTTTAAACATAACCTCAAAATTTTGAGACACTAATTTTTGACACAAACTTTATAAAATCATATAATACTTACATTACACTATATCCTTTCCTCAGATATCACTTCCCAAACAATTTTAACACATAACAAACCAAAATTTGCCACTTTTTCATAAACTAAACTCTAAAAACACAAAAATGCCGGCAGGATTAAAAGAATCCCCTTATTGACAAGTCACTTTTCCTGGAATGTTTTTCGACACTTTCTAAAACCTTTCGAAAACTTTTATTAATGCTAATAGATAATTTTGATTGTTGTTTTTGATTCGGGTAAATAAATTTTGTGTTTTTAATACTGTTTTCTGTATGAATTTATTAATTTTGTTGAAGGACGACGCGCACGATCTTGTTGACTGACGGAATCGTACTGACGTAAGTTGCGAGTTGTGTCTGTAGAGGCGGCGTGTTAGGGTGCGGGCACATGGGTGGAAAAGAGATGTGACAGATATTAGGCGTGAAGTTTATAATGAATTTTGAAAAAAAAAATTATATATATAAATATAAATATATATAAATATATATAGTCGAAATAAAACGCAATAAATAATTCAACTATTTATTATGTACGTTTCGACACTGTATGTGTGTCATCATTCAGCAAGTTCTTACAAAATATTTAAAATAGTATTGTTTTAAAATACCATACTTAACTTGTTTTTTTTCTTATTTTAAAGAGTTGGCCGGTTATACATCAGTTTCCTTGTACTTTAAAATAGTATAAGTTAAAAAATACCAAATTTTACTTGTTTTTGAGAAAATGGTTGTAAATCTTTGCGATTATTGGATACACATCTTTTGCCCTCTACTTTAAAATAGTATTTTACAAAGTTTAAAAAAATTGCAAGTTTACAATGAGATAATATATGAGATATAAGTATATAAATTATACTAGCAAATAAGAGTATCAATACATATCAAAACACACAAATTTTGAAGATATTGTTAAATAAAAATAAAAAAATAAAATAACATATTATTATTAAATTAAACAAACAGTTGTATAATAAAATCATATCTAGTTAACGAATAGTAAATGGAAAAAGAATGTAAAGTTGTGTCTCATAGATGCAACGGGGTTCACAAACGTAGATTCAGGATCAAATTCTAGGAATTGTTAGTAAGAAAGTTCAAATAAGGATAGGAAAAATATAAACAAAAATGAAACAATGTTTAAAAAATATTACAATTAAAATAAATAAATATAAAATATAATAATAAAATAATTTGTTGTGTATGGCATATTGCCTTAAAAGAAAATTGCTGGAACTTCTCGTATCGTAACGAAATATTCGAGGAATATTAAATGTTTTCATATAAATTATTATAAATGTCTGCAATTTTCATTATTACTATTTTATAGACAAAATATAAGAGCTTATAAATTGGATGATGAAAAGTTAATGAACAAAACTTAATCAAGCTGAGTTGGAATTAATGGAACTTATCTCATATTTATGAGAATTTTATAGACTGAATTGTAAAGTTAAAATTATTTATTTGAAGTATATAAGTGACATTTAGAATTTAAGCTAGAATTAAAGTTAAAACCTGAATTATTTTCGATATTCAACAATTTTTTTTTTGAAAATTGAAAAAAATTGTATTAATGATACAAAAATAATCATTTCGTCAACACAAACAAAATGTTTTTTGAATCATTCAAATCGGACGCTTAGTTCACTCAAAAACTGCCATTTTTTGCACTTTTAGATCTAAAATTCCAAAACGGCTTCCCTACGGGAAGTTATTATAACTTTGTTTTGTAATAACACAAAAACGTAAAATTTTGACATAAAAATAAAAATATAAAAAAAATTAATACAATTTCGTAGTTAAGCGCATGATTTAAAATTTAACTCAAAAAGTATGTTCGAAAATTAAAATAAACAGTAAAGCAGGGTTCACAAAAAGTTGAACCAAGGACTAGAAGACTGAATTTTGGAAAATAACAAAAAAAGGCGTACTACTAAAGTAGAGTCAAGGACGGAAAGAAAATAAACAAAAATAAATCATTCTTAGAGTAAAACATTAAAATAATAAAAAATATATATATCTACACATACATCCATTTACTCTAATAAGGAATGTCAAAAATAATAAGGTATGACGAAGAAGTTTATATTTTCACCAGGAAATCTGATCTGCTAATTTTTCAGGAATCATTGAAAAAAGTATGTATGTAAGTCAAAATTAGACCTTTCTTCTACGTTTTCTCAAAAGCGGTGCAACGATTTCTGTAATATATATATATATATATATATATATATATATATATATATATACATATATATATATAGATTTTTCTAATTTATTTCGCAGAATGTGTGATCCTAACCTTAGATTAGCGGTAGGGAGAGAGCGCGCATACTTTTTTGAACAAAGACAACAAACAATCGCAATGTGAAGACATTGCAGAATATTTGAAACGAAATCGCAATTGCAAAATTATATATATATATATATATATATATATATACATATAAATATAAAAATTCATTTCTACGATAACCACATTTTTAAAAAAATTACTAAATTCTACTGACGAGCCAAATGGGTCTCACTTGCCAAAAAAGTTGATGTAATTTATAACAACCCGGCTTATTTTAGATCAGTAATATGGACTCTAGAAAAAATTAACATTTATTGTTAAGACGTTGTTCCAGAAAAGATCAGTTAAATCAACAATATGACAAATGAGGAATAAAAATAATTCTACTATTCTATTGCGAGAAGAAGAGAAAACTGTTTCGGATCCATATTGATAATGAAAAGTTTAATTTTACTTTTTTGATTCTATATCTTCGCCTTGTAGATACATACGAGTTCGGTAGATAGTAGAGTCCTTTCTCACCCACATCACATTGTCAGATTTTTTTTCGACGATGGCTAGACGGATCTCTTTCTCTATCATACCTTGTCAGTTAGAGGGAGGGCTGAGGGAAATATTATATCATGAAAATAGTTGACAAACTATTATATATAGACCGATAGCACCACTAAACTACATATATTTATGAAGCATCTCTATTATCAAAAATTTAAAATTAATCCTTTCCACTCGCGAATTTCTAAAAAAGTCAGAACAAACACATCCACTATTCAGTTCGTTATATTTTGAAATAACTCTACAAAATTAGAAGTAGCTAGTGGTGTATGGCATCGTGTCTTAAGGCAAATTGCTGGAACTTCCCGTACCGTAATGAAATATTCGAGGAATTTTAAACGTTTTCAAATATATTATTACAAATACTGTAACTTTAATTATTTTTGCTATCTTGTTATATCTGAGCAAATCAAATGTAATTCATAAATCAATTTATCTCCAGAACAATCGTCATTTCATTTAGAATTCAATTTCAAAAAAAAAAAAATAGTTGCCCAAATAGTTACACAAAATTGAAAAAGTGCTCCGTATAGTAACAGTCTAAACGCATTTGCAAATAATTCAGTGCGACATTGTCACTTATGCTGTGCTTAGCTTGGCGGCATTTTCACATTTTTCAATAGTTTTCATAAAATTGGAAAAGTGCTTCAATACAAAAACAGTCTAAACGCACTTGGGTGAACATTTATACCAGAATGGCGCTTAGACTGTGCTTAGCCTGGGTATTTTTTTGAATTTTAAATCCAAAATTACAAAAATATTTTATGAAAAATAAAAAAAGATTTAATCATTTTTTATCCTCATAAGCAATTGTTTTGTCAATACAAGCAGAAAGTTTTTTATATCATTCAAATCAGAAGCTCAGTTCACTCAAAAACTGTCATTTTTTGCACATTTAGCTCTGTATTTTCGAAATGGCGAGACCTGCCTTTGCCAAAAACTAATTACCCCTTCTCCCTAACAATAGGGATCGAATGTTTTTTAAACCATTCAAATCGGTTGATCCGTGCGCCCGAAAACATGGACGAAAAAATGCGGGACTCACTCACACACATCCATTTTTTCTGAGGTATGCCAAAATGTTCAGAAACCTTCAAAACGTCGAGAAATGCAAAAAATTTCATTTTCGATTATCGGCGCATTACTATAACTACCCTACGGGAATTTAATCAATAAGATTAGATTAAAAGTAAATTAAAATAGTTGTAGAAAAATAAAAAATAAGTTTATTTCCAGAATATAAAAATCTAGCAAAAATATTAACATAGCAAGTGATAAGACTAAATAAATGCAAAATCACATTAAAAATACAAAATTAAAAACTATTTAAATAAATTTAAATTTGTAACAAATATTAAAACATAAATAATAAAATATAAAAAACTATTAATTTCAAACCTGAATGAATAAACTCGTCTCTATGCAGCTAAAGCACTACCATTGTTTTGGAATTTGGAATTCAGAATAAGAAAACATTTTTTTTCAAGTTTTTTGCCCAAAAAAGTCATTTTTTTTCAAAAATTTAAAATCTCTCAAAAATCTTTTTTTTTTCAAAAATTAAACAAAAAATTAATATTTAAAAAAACTTTTGGTACGGAAATTTGCTTTAAGGCACAATGCCATACACAACTAGTTTTATTATAATTTTATCCGACCAGCTCTCCGTCTATTTCCCCGACAAGACCACTCGACCGTGAGCTCCATCATCCCCAAAAAGCACCCAAAGCACCCCAATACCCCATTAAATGGACCACAGTGGATCATTCACATATTATATATAGGGAAAACAGGTTAAATAAATATCACACAATATAATAATAACTTATTACTAGGTGTAACAAGTGGCATGTAAACGTTTTGTAACTTTAAAATTATTAATAATGATATATTCGAAAATTTTATACAAATTTCAACATTATATAAAATTTATTATATCAATGGTCACAACAATTTACTCTACTCTAAAATGCTAAAACTGAAATATTACAATTATCCTTTTTGTTGCGTAATTTTAAAGCAATCCAATTAATCTATACGATGTTGTAATTTTTAAACTTTAATTCATTTTTATAATTAAACTACTTATCACAGGCCTCTAATATTTTACTTCTATATTTTACACACACATACTTTTTCTAAATTTGGTCTCAAACGATTCAGAATGACTTAAAAGCGTCAAAGCATCAAAAGAAGCGATTCAGATTTCTGGCAAAACCATAAAGTTCTCAATCAGGAAGTTTAAAAAATCAAGTAAGGAAAAAATCTTATACCTAAGATATGATTTTATATTACTATTGTGTCTATTTTACCCCATTTTTCCCTATTTTAGGGCGATCCACTTCGCAAAATCCCTCTCCGACTGTCTCGACGTCTGATGGAATTCTCTTCGTCACAAAAACTGATTTGAATTCATTATTCATCCCTTTTGTTTGAAAAAAAAAAAGAATAATTAATAATATAGAATTTAATAATAAATATAAGGGTCATATTAATATATAGCGTTGTTATGGCAATGCTATGTTATTCTTTTATCTCGGTTGTAAAAAAGTAAAAAAATCTATCTATTTGCTGTACGATCAGGCGTATTTTACATATAAACAAAGCAAGGAAGAATGTTATGATAACTGCGTATTTGTGATACAGTTTATATGTAAAATACGCCTGATGGTACAGCAATGAATTGACTTTTCATAGTTTTTACTACCAAGAAAGAAGTATTAGATAGTGTTGCCATAACAACCGTAGAATTAGCATCATAGCGAAAAAAAATAAAACAAAAAAAGAGTTGTAGAATATGTCATTTAAGTAAAATAAATACATGTAACAATTTTGAATAATGTTTATTAGTAATATGGTAACACTCGTCGTGATGCACACATTTATTAGTGTCAATCATTATATACATATTTATATAATAAATTGTAAATTATATATTTATAATAGCATTAAAAATATGTATAATATTTAAAAGCAATAATGTAATTAAAGTCATACTTCAAATACGACATGATCGGTTTGTCATTGTAATTAGCATTTAGGACTTGCACCTTCATTAGAGAAATGAAGTAATTGCTGATTAATAAATTCTATACATAGTGGATTATGTTAAACAACGCCTAAACAAATATTGTTTTTGTAAATTCACTTATCATGTAATAATTGTGTTTGAAGAACTTCATGTAATTAAAATTAACATACATTCATTGACTGTTTTACTTTTTCGTTGGCGATACAGTCTAATTCTTTGAACAGCTGTAATATCTGTCTTGCCTATAAATATAATCTCTAAAAATATATATTAACCACGAATAATACAAATTACTTCAATAAACTTACGTTTCTTACACGGAACGGATTTTTCATTTGTTTTTTTATTTTCGCTATAATTATTTACTGATGAGGGGATAAATTATTCTACCGATCCACATATTTTTTAATCAAAATCAAGATTTCTACTAAGACGTCATCTTAAAATCTAATTACGTATGTGGCGTACACCCTCGCACGTGACACGACGACCAATCACAATCGACCCGTATAGAAATGATATCATCGAGAGCGAATGACGAATCATTGGCACTCGACTCGGCCGTAACGCTCTTCCGTTGTATTTGCACAGATTTACACCCTAGTCGCGCCTAAAGGAGCTTTACTAAGAATATTGAAGAATTGAAGAACAAAAATAGTAGGGCTTTGAATAAAACAAAAATAAATAGCATTTGTACTATGTATTTATATTAATAAACAATTACATACAAGGCACTGGTTAGGAGTAACAACTAGAATTGTGACTGAAATATATATTAAATAAATTGCATTTAATATCCTGTGTATCAATATAAGTTGAGTGATTGATAAGGATTATAAGGCCGGACAGTTTCTAGGCTAATTTATCAGTTTTGTTGACAGTTTTTTTACAGTTTATTCTCAAGTATGTCCTCTTTCATGTCGCATTAATTTATCTTTTGTTTTGAATGTTTTATTGCATATGTCACATGGATAAGGTCGTTCTTCAGAATGCACTGATAAATGCACTGATAAATTACATAACTGTAAAAATCTTTTATTGCATATTTTGCACTCATACGGCCGTTTTCCAGTATGTACATATTTATGTTGATATAAATTAGGTTTTGTTTTGTATCTTTTATTGCATATGTCACATGCATAAGGTCGTTCTTCACTATGCATTGATAAATGCCTTATTAAATTACCTGAAAGTGAAAATGTTTTATTGCATATTTTGCACTCATTACGGCGTTCTCCAGTATGTACTGTTTTATGTCGCATTAATATACGTTTTGTTCTGAATGTATTATTACATATTTCACATGCGTAAGGTCGTTCTTCACTATGCACTGATAAATGCCTTATTAAATTACCCTTTTGTGAAAATGTTTTATTGCATATTTTGCACTCATTACGTTCTCCAGTATGTAATGTTTTATGTTGCCTTAATATAAGTTTTGTTCTGAATGTTTTATTACATATTTCACATGCGTAAGGTTGTTCTCCAGTATGCAATGATAAATGCTCTCTTAAATTAGTTGACCGTGAAAATCTTTTATTGCATATGTTGCACTCATGAGGACTTTTTTCAGTGTGAATCATTTTATGTACTTTTAAAATTTTTTTCAATTTGAATGTTTTATTACATATTTCACATGCATAAGGTCGTTCTTCAGTATGCACTGATAAATGATCTCTTAAATTAGTTGACCGTAAAAATCTTTTATTGCATATTTTGCACTCATGAGGCAGTTCCCCAGAGTGTATAATTTTATGTTGGTTTAAGTTTGGTTTTGTTGTGAATGTTTTATTGCATTTTTCACATTCATAGGGTTTCAACTTGCTAGTTGCTTCATGTTTTGCTGGAACTTTTTCAAATGATTTGTCCGTGCTATCCACTAAATTACTTGAATTAGTGATCTCTTTGTTACATATGTAAGGTTTTTCATTTAAAACTCTTTCGTTTGTATTACCCAAAGCATCTTGGTCATCATTCGTCTCTTGTTTTATTTCCTCGTCAATTGTAACCTCAGATTTTAGAAATTGCTGCCGACATATATCATCATCCATATACAAATCTGATGTATTTTCATAATCATCAAATTCCTGTTTCACTTGAGGATAATCATCGATCGGTTCAATTTTAATTGTTTTGTTTAAATTTGTTTCCACAGACATGTTTGAAGTTTGTAGGTTATAATAAACTGGTGATGAGTTCTTAAAAATTGAGAAGTCTAAGTGTATAATAATATATGTGTTTCGATATTTACTAATTCGTTTATTGTTTAATATGATATAAAGCTAACACTGACCTTTTTACTAAATTTATCTTCGAATTCAACTTTAATAATTCCATAAACCACTTTGACGTTTCTCCTCCATTTTGTTTTCATGAACAAGTGACCAGGTTGGACAACATTGAGCACATTTTAAATGCGAGATTTTCGGCGGCAAAATTTGAAATCCGAAATTATTATTAATTTTAACAAAAAAAAAACATAAAATATGAACATATAAAAGTTTTTGAGAGGGAACAAATAAATATATATGTGTCTTCATTAAGAAACCATATAAAGTATGTATGAACTTGTGGGAATCAAAGCGGCTATGAGTTTTTAAGAAAGAGCTACTTAAAAAGTACGCCCAGTCCTCGGGTCATCTCGGTTTAACGCATTTACTCTAGCCATGACACCGGACTTTCGTTGGCATACTCGTTCTGTATGTCCAGACATCGGGTTATCGCTGACACCAAAAGGTTCATTGGAATCGCAATTTAACCTCTTCTTGTCCTTTAACTCAACAAATCGTCTTTTGATGCTTAAGACTTTGGAACTAGATCTGGATTGTATGTTGTTTTCAGAACTGGATTTAAATACATTTTTATAAAACTTAGAAATATATTTCTATTAATTCATATTTTTCTATATTATTAAATAATTAACAATTATAATGTGATGACAGTGCCATTTCCCATCCGTATAAACAGTGAAGTGAACTATAAAATTAGTATCCCTCGGAAATAAATAGGTTTTACTGTATATTCAGGTTATCCATTGTCGATTGAGTAAACAAAAAATTAACAAATTGTATTTTCTAGTTTGTATTTTTGGCCGCCCTTGAAAATAACATAATAGGATAAAATCAAATATGTTCTCACAAAAAATCGACTTGTAATTTTTATGTTTTCTCAACGTTTCTAGTCATTCTGAATCAAATTTGAGAAAGAAGTGTGTATATGAGCTGATTTTTGTTTTCTTGTCAATGTCTTCTTAAAAACGGTTAAGTTGATTTCAAAAATTTAAAAGTTATTTGATGTAACTAGATAACGACTACCGTCTGTCAATTTTGTCCAACATTCGGCCAAGTCGTTTCTAATCAACAACTAGCTGTAAGTGGAATTCTGTCTTAAGGCAATTAAGGCATCGTGCCTTAAGGCAAATTGCTGGAACTTCCCGTGCCAAAAATTATTAATTTTTTTAAATTTTACTTCGGAAAAATAAGATTTTTTAGAAACTTTAAATTGGACAAAAAATTACTTTTTTGAAAATTTTTTTTTGGAAAAAATGTTATCTTCATTTTGACATATTTTGGAAGATCTGAACTTTTTTTCAAAGCAATCGTACTGCTTTAACTGCATAGAGACAAAATATAAAGCGCGTAAGCGCCGCGTCGCTGTCTAACGGAACCCATAGGAATGTAAACAAAACTTATACTTATTGTTAAAATCTCAATAAAACATCTGATAATTTGATATGCATATGTCTAATGTCTAATGATTATTGTTGACCGCCAAATGTTATTTTTTTTTAGTTTTTTTTACTAGATCTCCGAAATCTTCATCTTGTTAATACAAATAAAATGTTTTTTGAACTATACAAATCGGACGCTCCGTTCTCTTAAAAACTGAGTTACCGTTTTTGGCCCTTTTTGCCCACATACATCAATTTTCTCCAAGGTATGCCAACATATTCAGAAACCTCTGAAACGTGAAGATATATAAAAATTTTCATTTTCGATTTTTTTGCAATTACTTACCCTATGGAAAGTTAATTATAAATAAATCAATTTATCATCTCCAGAACATTAACAATCGTCATTTCATTTCGAATCAAATTCAAAAAAAAAATAGTTGCCAAATTTACACAAAATTGGAAAAGTGCTCCCGCATAGTCGGAGTCTAATTTGCATTTGCAAATAATTTTGTGCGACATTTATATATTATACTGTGCTTAGCATGGCGGCATTTTCACATTTTTCAATAGTTTTCACAAAATTGGAAAAGTGCTCCAGTACACAAACAGTCTAAACGCACTTGGGTAAACATTTGTACCAGAGTGGCGCTTAGAATGTGCTTAGCTTGGGTGATTTGTTGAATTTTAATCCAAAATTACAACAAAATTTTTTTGAAAAAAAAATTAGACACAAAAATTTTTTTTTTCCACAATCAATTATTTTGTTGAAAAAAGCAGAAAGTTCTTTGAATCATTTAAATCGGACGTTTAGTTCTCTCAAAAACAGCCATTTTTTTAAATTTAGCTCTGTATCTCCGAAACCTCTGGGCCTACCTTTGCTAAAAACTAATCAGCACATCTCCCTATCAATAGGAATCGAATGTTTTTTAAACCATTCAAATCGGTTGATCCGTTCTCTCAAAAACTCGCTTTCTATTTTTTGCACTCTTTGCTCCATATCTCCGTAACGGCTGGACCTGCCTTTGCCAAAAACTAATCAGCACATCTCCCTATCAATAGGAATCGAATGTTTTTTAAACCATTCAAATCGGTTGATCCGTGCGCCCGAAAACGTGGACGGAAAAACGCGGACATACAAAACACACACACATCCATTATTTTCTGAGGTATGCCAAAATGTTCAAAAACCTTCAAAACGTCGAGAAATGTAAAAATTTTTGATTTCGATTTTTGGACGATTACTATAACTTACCCTACGGGAAGTTAAAAAAGTGTACAAATTTTCGTACACGTTTTAGCCAAAAATTCTGCATCGTTTTTAAACATTCAGAAGCTGTTTGAAAGATATCATTTGGGAATCGTGCTGATTAGTTTTCAGAGATCGGCCGGATCGTTTCTTCGTATTTACTTGTTAAATATTTTTTACGATGATATTTATAAATTTCGGCGATAGAGATCATGATCTCAAATTTAACTAAATATTTCGACCTTACGACAAGTCGTTTTAATTTTCAAAATATTATAAAAATTTCATCTTTATTCGATGGTTTTCTCAAAAATGCGCAGTCCTATTTGAAAATTCGATACAATTCGATAAGCACGTGCTGGTTCATGATGGTTAATTTTGCCTCACGATCGGCCGAGCCGTTTCTTTAGAATTGTCATAGAAGTGTCAAATTTTTCGTCCACGTTATAGCCTAAATTCGTGTATCGATTTTAAAAATTCAACTAGCTGTAAGTGGAATTCTGTCTTAAGGCAATTAAGGCATCGTACCTTAAGGCAAATTGCTGGAACTTCCCGTACCAAAAATTATTATTTTTTTAAAAACGATTAACATTTTTGAAAAAAATTTACTTCGAAAAAATAAGATTTTTGACAAACAATTAGACAAAAAATTATTTTTTTTTGAAAAAAAATTTTTTTTATTAATTTTTTTGTTTTAATTTTTTTTTTTTTTTGAAAAAAATGTTTTCTTTATTTTGACATATTTTGAAAGATCTAAACTTTTTTTCAAAGCAATCGTACTGCTTTAACTGCATAAAGACAAAATATCAAAGCGCGTAAGCGCCGCGTCGTCGTCTAACGCATAAACATTGGTACGGAACCCAAAGGAATGTAAACAAAATTTATACTTGCTAAAATCTCTATAAAATATCTGATAATTTGATGTGCATATGTCTAATGATCATTTTTGACCACCAAATGGCATTTTTTTTTACTTTTTTCATTAGAGCTCCGAAACCGCTAGACCTGCCTTTATGAAAATTTGATCGGTTCTTTACCTTGTCAATACAAGTAAAATGTTTTTTGAATTATTAAAATCGGACGCTCCATTCTCTTAAAAACTGAGTTACCGTTTCCGGCACTTTTTGCCCCGTATCTTTGGAACGGCTAGACCTGACTTCGCCAAAAACTAATCAGCACGTCTCCTTATCAATACGAATCGAATGTTTTTTGAATTATTCAAATCGGTTGATTGGTGTTCCCGAAATCGTCGACGAAAATTTGTATCCGCACAAACACACACACGCACACACACACACATACATCCATTTTTTCTAAGGTATGCTAAAATATTCAGAAACCTTTGAAACGTCGAGAAATGCAAAAATTTTCATTTTCGATTTTTTTGCGATTACTATAACTTGCCCTACGGGAAGTTAAAAACCATTTGAGAATTGGATTAGTTGATGTTTTTGTCAATGATCGGTCGAGTCGTTTCTCAGTTATTGATTAACAATTTTTTTTAGCGATTTTGGAGCCTGTTCTTAATGAACATACTACACGTTTATTTCTTGTTCAATAATATATAATTTTTTAACCATTTTTAAAAAATAACTGATATGTTTAGAAAATTTGTACAAAATTGAATAATCGGCGATAGTTTTTCACATTACAATTCATTCATGATTTAATATATTTTTATAATTATGTCGATTATTTACACATGTTTAAAAAATCATGCATCTTGCTTTAAGGGGGTATTCTACTGTAGAGGTATGAATTTCCCCTGGTTTTTGAAGCGCTGTATAAAGGAAACAAATAATATTTTTACCATCGATTTTTTTATCATTTGTTCGTTGATATTTTATTATTACACAAAAAAATTATTTAGAAAAAAAAATTGAAATTCACAAAGATATGAGCAGTCAAAGTGGGGGCTCCTGGCGTGCATGATTCCAACCCTCCTGGTGATTTGAAACATAAAAAAAGAGTGCGCGTAAGGATCACACGCGATTGAAGTAAAACTTATTTGCAATTATATTGTAGCAAATTTAAGTTGAGTAAAAATAAATACATCATATAAAAATTTTGAATAATGTTTATTAGTAATATGGTAACACTCGTGATGCACACATTTATTAGTGTCGTCAATCATTATACACATTTATATAATGATAAGTTATAAATTATATATTTATGATTGCATTAAAAATATGTATAATATTTACAAGCAATAATGTAATCAAAGTCGTACTTGAAATATGACTATGATTGCTGATTAATAAATTCTATAATATTCATTCACACAGTGGATTATGTTAAACAACGCCTAAACAAATATTGTTTTTGCAAATTAACTCATCCTGTAACAACTGTGTTTGAAGAACTTCATGTAATTAAAATTAACATACATTCATTTACTGGTTTGTATTTTTTACTTTTTCGCTGACGATATAATCTCATTCCTTGAACAGCTGTAATATCCGTCTTGCCTAACAAATTGAAGCCATACTTTTATATTTGTTTTATTTATCAAGCCCCCTGCACACAGCTTGATCTATGAATCATTTGCTTTTTTATGTGAACGTTAATGCAATGATCATCATTAATATTACGAGGTAAAAAATTAACCATATTATCAACGTCAACAGGCAAATTTATAATTTGGCCAAACATTCCAAATTGTCCATTTGCATGTCGCAATCGTCTAATTTGCATGAAAAACAACCTAGGTGAAATTAACCTTTCAGATACAGTATCTAGTTTAGGTAGATAATTTGGTATAGGTGGAAATACAAACCCGTTAAACATACACAAAGTGGGAATTTTACCCGAATTTAATATCTTTCGACAAGTTTGACATTCAACCTGATTATTTTATCCAACCTAACCCATGTCGCGCCTAAAGAAGTTTTACTTCAAAAATAAATGGATTCTTAATTATTATAGATGCCGCTATCGTATGAACCTTGGATATGTTAAAAGAAAAAAATTTGTTTTAATGGCGGCAGTTTGAAAAAAAAATATTTTTTTTTCATGTTTTTTTTAACATTTCCGAATTTTTTAAAAATACTAAATGAAAAGTTATAGTTTTGGGAGAGGTCCACGCGATAAAGCGATGTATAGAGAAGATCCTCTCCAAATTTGAAGTAAATCGGTTCATTAGAACTCGAATATCGATATCCTTACCGCCAGCTCGAAAAAAGTAGTTCCGAGAAAAACGCGTTCAAAGTTTTGATTCTCCTTAGGACCCGAACCGAGGCCACGTCACTAAAACGGATATAACTCAGGAAATAATAGTAATTTTGAAAAATCCTTTTAATGACATATTTTTGAATAACTAAACTTTGATAATATGAAAAAAAATTTTTTTCGATTTTTTCAAAATTCTACAGTAGAATACTCCCTTAAGGCAAAGTTGCCACTTACACCAAGATTATACACTTAATAATGATTTAGAAACAAAGCTTTCAATAGCCGCTTTTTGATTCGATCTCACTTTCAATTAAATTTATTATATACGGCCGCCTTCGGGTGATTTTGACTACGGTCGTTTTTTAAGTCACGATCGGCGGATTTTCAGGTGCACGCACTGCACGCTGGCCAGGCACGGCCCTGGGCTTTTAATAAAACAAAAATAAATAGACTTTGTATACTATGTATTTATATTAATAAACAATCACATACAAGGCACTGGTTAGGAGTAACAAACAGAGTTGTAACTGAGATATATATTAAATAAATTGCATTTAATATCCTGTGTATCAATATAAGTTGAGTGATTGATAAGGATTATAAGGCCGGGCAGTTTCTAGACTTGTTCAACTAATTTGTTGACTGTTTTTTTACAGTTTGTTCTCTAATATGTCTTCTTTCATGTTGCCTTAATAAATGTTTAGTTTTGAATGTTTTATTGCATGTCTTGCATTCATAAGGTCGTTCTTCAGTATGCACTGATGAATGCAATTTTAAACTATTTAACTGTATAAATTTTTTATTGCATATTTTGCACTCATGAGGCCGTTCTCCAGTATGAATTAATAAGTGTCTTTTTAAATGACTTAACCGTGAAAATGTTTCATTACATATTTTGCACTCATAAGAGCGTTCTCCAGAATGGACCACTTCATGTTGTTTTAACATTTTTTTCATTCTGAATGTTTTATTACATATTTCACATGCATAAGGACGTTCACCAGTATGAATCGATGAATGTTCTCTTAAACTACTTGATTGTAAAAATGTTTTATTGCATATTTCGCACACATAAGGACGTTCTCTAGTATGAACTGATAAATGCTGTCTTAAACCAACAGACTGTGAAAATGTTTTATTGCATATGTCACACTCATACAAGCGTTCTCCAGAATGGACCACTTTATGTTGTTTTAAAATTTTTTTCATTTTGAATGTTTTATTACATATATCACACGTGTAAGGTCGTTCTTCAGTATGCACTGATAAATGCTGTCTTAAATTACTTGACTGTGAAAATCTTTTATTGCATATTTCGCACTCATGAGGCCGTTCTCCAGTATGGATCATTTCATGTCGGTCTAAGCCTTGTTTTGCTACAAATGTTTTACTGCATGATTTACATTTATATTTCAACTTACTAGTTGTCTTACGTTTTCCTGAAACTTTTTTAAATGATTTGTTTGCACTATTGACTATCATACTTGATTCACTGATCTCGTCGTTACATATGGAAGAATTTTCATCTAAAACTGCTTTGTTTGTACTAGTTATGTCATCTTGGTCATCAATCGTCTCTTGTTTTATTTCCTCGTCAATTGTAACCTCAGATTTAAGAAATTGCTGCAGACATATATCATCATCCATATATAAATCTGATGTATTGTCATAATTATCAAATTCCTGTTTCACTTGAGGATAATCATCGAACGGTTCGGTTTTAATTGTTTTGTTTGAATTTGTTTCTTCAGACATGTTTGAAGTTGTAGGTTATAATAAACAAACTGGTGATGAGTTCTTAAAATTTGAGAAGTCTAAAGGTACAATAATAAATATGTTTCGATATTTACTAATTGGTTTATTGTTTAATAGAATATAATGCTAACACTGACCTTTTTACTAAATTTATCTTCGAATTTAACTTTAATAATTCCATTAAACACTTTGACATTTCTCCTCCATTTTCTTTTATAAACAACAGATCAAGTTGAAGTTAAAAACAATTCAATTGCGATTTTTTCGGCGGCAAAATTTGAAATCCGAATTTAATATTAGTTTCAACAAAAGATATAAAATCTGAATATACAAAAGTTTTAGAGGGGAGAACAAATATATATATATATATATATATATATATATATATATATATATAAATTTAAAAAATAATTTGGCATATATTCATCAAGACATAAAAGCTTTCAGTAATTCTGTTAAGAGAGAATTCTGTTAAAAGGAGCTACCGAATGATCCTAACATTTACCATCATAGACATGCTTTTAAATACATCAATCTTATAGAAAAAAATGACACATCACCAATTCTATTCCCTTGAAGTTAAAAGGAACCCTCTAGTTCCTTAAATTATACAGTCTTCTCAAAATACATAAACCCAATTGCCCTTTCAGACCGATAGTTTCATGCATTAATTCGCCTTACTATAATTAATCTAAATTTTTTTCCAAAATTTTAAACAATGTTACTATTAATTCACCCAGTAGTAGATTGTTTAAAAGATTTCAAGAATCGTTATTATTATTGAAAGTAGATGGTTGCAAATTGTTGAATACTATTCACTACCTTTCGAAACATTTATTTCAGGAATAGATTTACTACTGAAGGCCTAATATTTCCAATTCAATAATAAACTAGTGTTGTGTGGCATCGTGCCTTAAGTCAAATTGCTAGAACTTCCCGTTTTGTAATGAAATATTCGAGAACTTTTAAACGTTTTCAAATATATTATTACAAATACTGTAACTTTCATTATTTTTGCTATCTTGTTATATCTGAGCAAATCGAATGTAAATCATAAATCAATTTAGTTCAATCTCCAGAACATTAACAATCGTCATTTCATTTCGAATTCAATTTCAAAAAAAAAAATGTTTGCCCTAATTTACACAAAATTGAAAAAGTTATCCTGCATAGTCACAGTCTAAACGCATTTGCAAATAATTCTGTGCGACATTTTCGCTTATACTGTGCTCAGCTTGGCGGCATTTTCACATTTTTCAATAGTTTTCACAAAATTGGAAAAGTGCTCCAGTACATAAACAGTCCAAACGCACTTGCAAAAACATTTGTACCAGAGTGGCGCTTAGACTGTGCTTAGCCTGGGTGATTTTTTGAATTTTTAATCCAAAATTACAAAAATATATTTTGAAAAAAAAATTAGAAACAAATGTTTTTTTCCAAAATAAATTATTTTGTTAAGACAAGCAGAAAGTTTTTTGAATCATTCAAATCGGACGCTTAGTTCTCACAAAAACTGCCATTTTTTTAACATTTAGCTCCGTATCTTCGAAATGGCTGAGCCTGCCTCTGCCAAAAACTAATAAACACTTCTCCCAATCATTACTAATTGAATGTTTTTTAGATCATTCAAATCGGATGCTCCGTTCTCTCAAAAACTCGATTTCTATTTTCTGCACTCTTTTTCTCCGTAACTGCTGGACCTGCCTTCGCCAAAAACTAATCAACACGTCTCCTTATCAATACGAATCGAATGTTTTTTGAATTATTCAAATTGCTTCATCCGTGTTCCCGAAATCGCCGACGAAAATTTTTATCTGCACACACATACATACACGCACGCACACACACACACATACATCCATTTTTTCTAAGGTATACCAAATTGTTCAGAGGGTTTTGAAACGTAAAGATATATAAAAATTTTCATTTTCGATTTTTTTTGCGATTACTACGGGAAGTTAATATAATACACTGATGATGAGACAAACATAGTCTCGAAACGTTTGTAAAATTAATACTATTTAATATATTAGAGCAAAAAAGAGTGATTAAAAAATTCTTTTTAATTTTTAAAAATTCTTAATCATTGCGTTTGGAACGGTTTGCAAATAAATTGAATAATTTTATAAAAAAAATTTAATTTTTTGTTGAAAATAATTTCGAAAATTTGAATTTTTTCTTTTAAATTACAAAATTTCAAAATTTTCTGTAAAGACTTTCTGCACACCGTCTACTCAAGCAAAATGTTTTGTGAATTAATTTAATCGGATGATCCGTTCACTCAAAAACTGCATAATCGTTTTTACACCCTTTGCGCTCCATACCCCCGAAACGGCAAAATTGCGTTTTGCAAAAACGCATCGCGATCAAGTACAAACCAAATGATTTTTCATTCATAGTTTGATATACGTATATTTTAAAAAAAAAAGAAAAATATTATTAAAATCTCTATAAAATATCTGATAATACGATGTGCTAATGTCTAATTATCATTTTTGACCGCCAAATGCCATTTTTTATACTTTTTTTTTTTATTGTAACTATATAACCGCTGGACCTGTCTTTTCAAAAACTTGCACAGTTCTCCTTTTCGTCAATACAAGTAAAATATTTTTTGGATTATTAAAATCGGACGCTCGGTTATATCAAAACCGAAATACCAATTTTAGCCCTTTTTGCCCCGTATCTCCGAAACCGCTGGACCTGCCTTTGCCAAAAACTAATCAGCACATCTCCGTTCAAAGTATTCTTCATTTGTTCAAGAATGACGGCATTTACATAGGATTTTGGGTTTGATATAGGAAGCGGCGCATATAGGAATTGGGTAGCAATTTTTTTTTGCCGCGAATAAAGAACTTCTACTAAACCAGCATCTGTACTATGTATTTATATTATTAAACAATTACATACAATACACTAATTATGAGTAACAAACAGAATAATATAATGCACAAATTAGAATTAATATCCTGTATTCATATAAGTTGTGTAATTATAAGGACTGTTTTTTTACAGTTTGTTTCCTAGTATGTCCTCTTTCATGTCGCATTAATATAGGTTTTGTTTTGAATGTTTTATTGCATGTCTTACATTCAAAAGGTCGTTCTTCACTATGCACTGATGAATGCTTTTTTAAATTAAATATCAGTGTAAATCTTTTATTGCATATTTTGCACTCATAAGGCCGTTCTCCAGTATGGATCATTTCATGTTGTTTTAAGCTATTTTTTGCTGTGAATGTTTTATTGCATGTTTCGCATACATAAGGACGTTCTCCAGTATGAACTGATAAATGCTGTCTTAAATGACTTGACTGTGAAAATGTTTTATTGCATGTCTTACATTCATAAGGTCGTTCTCCAGTATGCAGTGATAAATGCCGCCTTAAATGACCTGACTGTAAGAATCTTTTATTGCATATTTTGCACTCATGAGGCAGTTTCCCAGTGTGAATCAATTCATGTTTGTTTAAGCTTTGTTTCAAATTAAATGTTTTATTACATATTTCGCAAACATAAGGACGTTCTCCAGTATGAACTAATAAATGTGTTTTTAATTCACTTAACTGTAAAAATGTTTTATTGCATATTTCGCACTTATGAAAACTTTCTCCAGTATGCACAAATTTATGTTGATTCAAGCCTTGTTTCATTCTGAATGTTTTATTACATATTTCACATGCGTAAGGACGTTCTCCAGTATGAATTGATAAATGCCGTCTTAAATTACTTATCTGTGAAAATGTTTTATAGCAAATTTTGCACTCATAAGAAAGTTCTATATTATGGATCTTTTCATGTCGTTGTAAGTCTTGTTTTGCTACAAATGTTTTACTACATGATTTACATTTATATTTCAACTTACTAGTTGTCTTACGCTTTCCTGAAACTTCTTCAAATGATTTGTTCGTGTTATCCACTGAATTACTTGATTCACTGATCTCGTCGTTACATATAGAAGAATTTTCATCTAAAACTATTTTGTTTGTACTAGTCACATCATGTTGGTCATCAATCGTCTCTTGTTTTATTTCCTCGTCAATTGTAACCTCGGATTTTAAAAATTGCTGCAGACATATATCATCATCCATATACAAATCTGATGTATTTTCACAATCATCAAATTCCTGTTTCACTTGAGGATAATCATCGAATGGTTCGGTTTTAATTGTTTTGGTAAAATCTATTTCATCAGACATTTTTGAGGTTAGTTTAGTTACAATAGACTAACTTTTGATGAATTCTTAAAAATTGAGAAGTCTAAGTGTATAATAATATATGTGCTTCGATATTTACTAATTCGTTTATTGTTTAATATGATATAATGCAAACACTGACCTTCTTACTATTATTTTAAATTTCTCATTGAACGTATAATTCCATAAAACACTTTGACATTACTCCTCCATTTTGCTTTTATAAACAACAGATCAAGCTGAAGTTAAACACAAATCAGCTGTAAGTTTTTCGGCGGCAAAATGTGAAATCCGAAACAATTATTAATTTCAACAAAAAATATAATAAGAATCTGAATATACAAAAGTTTTTGAAGGGAGGACAAATATATATATATATATATATATATATATATATATATATATTGTTAGCGAAATATATTGTGTGAACACATTAAAAAAAAAAAATTGACGATTTTTATGATTATTTTTTTGACGGTAGAATCCATAGTCTTCTAGATCAAACTAAAATATTACGGCCCTACGACAACTGGTTCAGCTTTAAAAATTCGTCAAAGTTTGCAAAAATTGGTATCGTTTTTTTGGCATTTGTCAAAATTAGACCTTTGATCGACGCTTTCTCCAAAACGCCTGAGCCGATTTTAGAAATTTAAAAGCTATTTGATGTATTTTGGTGAGGACTATCGTTTGTCAGTTTTGTGTGACGATCTGCCAAGCCGTTTCTTTGCAATTTGAAAAAAAGTGTTAAATTTTCGTCCACATTTAAGCTCATCCTACCGAACCGATTTAAAAAAATCAAAAACTGTTCGAAAGATATTAGTTGGGAATGAAACTGATTAGTTTAGGTGAAAATCTACCGAGCCGTTTTCTTGTAATTCGTTGTTGAAAAAAAAATTTAAGCCGATTTTCATGGAACTTTTTTTGGCGATATACATCATGGTCTTATAGAACTTACTGTAATAATGAAATACGAGTGTTATTGAAAATTGAATGCTAGTTTTTTTAAATATTAATATTGCACAAATTACTGGATTATAATCAACCCGCGAATCGCCTCGATTTTCTAAATAAATTTAAAATCAATATATTTTATACGCTTTTAGATTATATCTAATTTTTTTGTGCACTAAATCCAGAATAATGATAAATTAATTTATTTATTTCACTTATTTTTGTTAAATCAAAGTTATAGAACTTAAAAAATGCATTTCAGAAATAGTATTTATTATTTTGATATCAAGATCTTTATATCAAATTAATAAATACTATTTATGAAATGCATTTCTTAAATTCTATAACTTTAATTTAACAAAAATATTAATTCTTTTGCTATGGTAGTCGAACTTACATCCTTAATCAATTTAATACATTTTGAATATTACTAAAATGTGAAATTATGACAGGGATTGTTTTATCTATTGATATCGACAATAATAAATAAATTTAAAATCAATATATTTTATACCCTTCTATATTATATCTCATTTTTTGTGTACTAAATCCAGAATAATTAAAAATTAATTTAAAAAAAAAAATGTAAATATTTATATAATTTTCATGATAAACTGTTAAAACGGTGAAAATTAATAGGGGGGGGCGCTAAAAAGAAAGTTGCATGCGGGCGCTAAGGACCCCAGGACCGGCCCTGTATATATATATATATATATATATATATATATATATATATATATATATATATATATATTATTTTTTTGTTTTGTTTGTTCATACTTTAGCTTAAATACGCGTTACCCATGTTCAAAGTCACTCAGAAGTTGAGTGGTAATGTTCATAATTATGTAACGTACAATAAATCGTCTGAGACTTTTCACCAAACTATAAACTATAAAAATTAGTCGGGTTTTCCTTCCTGACGATATAATTCCAGAAAGCACGAACCGATTTCGACAATTTTGCATTCTTTGGAAAGGTCTCGGGCTCCGTGCTAAGAAAATTAGTGGTGCATGGCATCGTGCCCTAATGCAAATTGCTGAAACTTCACGCACCGTAATTAAAAATTCGAGTAATGACATTAGTGAGAATTATCAGAATTATGCTTGCAATTAAGTCAACGAGCAATTCTTGCCGCAAAGAATAATGGTGTACACGCACTGAATTTTACCATTCAATCAAAAATTGCTGGCGATTTGGTGCCATACCAATGATTCCGACTGGTCTTCCGTTTGACTTCAAACGATTGCAATATCCAGTTCGCCTTGCGTTCGCAATAACAAGTCGCAAGGCCAATCGCTTAGTGTTTGCGGGATAAATTTCAAATAGATTATTTAGAAAATCATTGTTTTTCACATGGGCAGTTATACGTTGCCTGTTCACGAGTTGGAAAACCATCCGCTTTGTTCGTGTTAACGTCAGACCAAAAAACAAAAAATGTGGTTTACCAAAGAGCACTTCAATGAAACGGATAATTTGCGGATTCACTTCCATTTACTTAGAGAAGTTCAACTAAAAAACACTTAATTTTTGTAATCGAAATAAATTCATTACTGTTGTGTAATAAAATCAAGTTTTTCCTTTTAAAATATAAAACAAACAAAACATTTCTTCATTTTTCTCACGAAACCATCTGGTGGCGAAACGGAGTTCGTCGAGTTTGCTAGTTATTTATATTATTATTATTCTTTTTATTATATATAGTTTTTGTTGTTAAATAATAGCAAAATAGCTTATAGAATTATAAGTAATTTTGATTGCTGATTATTAATTAATAATTTTTTTAAAAAAAAAAATACATTTTAGTACAAATCTTGATTTAATGAAAAATGCCTAAATCAGAAGAATATTTTACCCTGTTCTTTGAAAATAATAAAACAAATTAAACATTTGAGCCGTGTACTAAACGTAAGTTTATTGATTAGAAATTATTTCTATATTATTCGTAGTTTCTATAAATCTTTGAAGTTATTAAAATGGAAAATATTTTTTAGGCAAGACATATATGACTGTTGTATAAAGAATGAGATTATATCGCCAGCGAAAAAGTAAAAAAAATACAAGCAGTCAATGAATGTATGTTAATTTTAATTACATGAAGTTCTTCAAACACAATTACATGGCGAGTGAAGTTGCGAAAACAATATTTAAAACAATTCAAGACGATGTTAACTGAGCATATTAATAATTTAAACCATAACATAAATTTTTTCAACCCAAAAATTTTACATTTTGAAGAGAACGTAATTAAAAGAAGATTCGCAGAGAGGTTGTTTTTACAATTGCATAACCACAGAGTCGTAAACAAACGCTTCGACAATACGGATCTGAACGAAACAAATACGTGGTTCCTAAATAGCGTGTCAAAATTTCTTTTCATTATTTCATTTCATTTCAAAATTAAGAAATTGGATTTTCTGGTGAAAATCATAAACTTCTTTGTGAAGTTAATAATAATGAAAATTGTAGAATTTTAGAAAAAATAGTAGGGCTTTGAATAAAACAAAAATAAATAGAATTTGTACTATGTATTGATATTATTACATACAATTCACCGATTATGAATAACACAGTTGTTGCTGAAATATATATTAAATAAAGTGCAATTAATATGGTAAATCAATATAAGTTGTGTAATGGATAAGGATTATTAGGTCAGGCAGTTTCTTGACTGATTCAACAGTTTTGTTGACTTTTTTATTACAGTTTGTTTTCTAGTATGTTTTCTTCTTTCATGTTGCATTAATATAGGTTTTGTTTTGAATGTTTTATTGCACGTCTCACATTCATAAGGTCTTTCTTCAGTATGCACTAATGAATGCTTTCTTAAATTACTTATCAGTGCAAATCTTTTATTGCATATTTTGCACTCATAAGAGCGTTCTCCAGAATGAACCTCTTCATGTCTTTTTAACAAGCTTTTCATTCTGAACGTTTTATTACATATTTCACATGAGTAAGGACGTTCACCAGAATGCACTGTTAAATGGTTTCTTAAAGTACTTGACTGTGAAAATCTTTGATTGCATATATTACACTCATAAGGCCGTTCTCCAGTATGTACTATTTTATGTTGAGTTAATGTATGTTTTGTTTTGAATTTTTTATTGCATATTTCACAACCATAAGCACGTTCTTCAGTATGCACTGATGAATGCTTTCTTAAATTACTTATCAGTGCAAATCTTTTATTGCATATTTTGCACTCATGAAGCCGTTCTCCAGTGTGGATCATTTCATGTCGGATTAAGCTATTTTTTGCTGTGAATGTTTTATTGCATATTTCACAGATATACGGGCATTCTTCAGTATGCACTGATAAATGCTCTCTTAATCTATATGACTGTAAAAATCTTTTTTTGCATATTTTGCACTCATGAGGCCGTTCCCCAGAGTGAATCGCTTCATGTCTCTTCAAGCTATTTTTTGTTGTGAATATTTTACTGCATGATTTACATTTATATGATTTCAAGTTTTTAGTTGTTTCCCTTTTGCCTGAAACTTTTTCAAATGACTTATTGATGCTATGCACTAAATTTCTTGATGTATTGATTTCTTCGTTACATACATAAGAACTTTCATCTTGGTCATCAATCGTCTCTTGTTTTATTTCCTCGTCAATTGTAACCTCGGATTTTAGAAATTGCTGCAGACATATATTATCATTATTCGTATACAAATCTGATGTATTTTCATAATCATCAAATTCCTGTTTCACTTGAGGATAATCATCAAACGGTTCAATTTTAATTGTTTTGCTAAAATCTGTTTCTTCAGACATTTTTGGCTAGTTTGGTTACAAAAGAGAAGTCTAAGTGTATAATAATATGTTTCGATATTTACTAATTCGTTTATTATATAATTTGATATAATACTAGCACTGACCTTGCTGAGCTTCTTACTATTATTTTAAATTTCTCATTCAACCTTAATTCCATAAAACACTTTGACATTTCTCCTCCATTTTGTTTTGATCAACAAGTGATCAGGTTGGACAACATTAAGCACATATCAAATGCGAGTTTTTCGGCGGCAAAATTTGAAATCCAAAATTATTATTAGTTTTAACAAAAAAAATTAAAATCTGAACATACGAAAGTTTTTGAGGGGGAACAAATAAATATATACGTGTTTTCATTAAGAAACCATAAAAAATATGTATGCACTTGTGGGAATCAAAGAGGCTATGAGTTTTTAAGAAAAACAATATTCATATCATGACATTTTGTATAGATAATGATAATTTTTAATACATTTTTATAAAACATAGAAATATATTTCTATACGGGTAACCCACGACATCTACAATGAATATACAATAACTAATACATTTTCGAAAATATATGAAAAAATGATTAAAGAAAGATTACTAAATTTGCTCATTCAAATAAATAGATAAACATCAATATGGTTTCCTCCCTTCATCAAATACACAAGGTGCCCTAATAGATTTGTCTAATACCATCAGTCTGGTATGTGGTATCAGGTGCTCTTGAGGAAAATATGCATACTAACAGCTGCCATTTTTATTGATTTACGAAAAGCTTTCGACACAGTAGATCATGTCATATTACTCAATAAACTAATAGATTTGGGTGTAGTGGGTTTGTATTACAGCATAATTAAAGATTTTCACGTGGAAAAGGTGGTAAGGACAAAGGTGGGAAATTTTACAAGTGGAGGACGTAGCATAGCTTGTGGCGTCCCACAAGGTTCTGTATTAGGACCTTTATTATATCTATTATACACCAACAACCTTAAAGACGTAAAATTAAAGGGTAGATACATATTATATGCAGAGGATACTGCCATAGGATAAGGATAAAAAAAGACTCGAAGATACAATAAACACGGACATGAAAATATACATTGAGTGGCTAACTGAAAATAAACTAACAATTAACATCGATAAAACAAAATACATACTGTAGAGGTATGAATTTCGCCTGGTTTTTGAAGCGCTGTATAAAGAAAACAAATAATATTTTTACCATCGATTTTTTTATCATTTGTTTGTTGATATTTTATTATTACACAAAAAAAATATTAGAAAAAAAAATTAAAATTCACAAAGTTATGAGCAGTCAAAGTGGAGCTCAAAAAAAAGAGGGTGTCCTGGCGTGCATGATTCCAACCCTCCTGGTGATTTGAAACATAAAAAATAAATGGATTCTTAATTATTATAGATGCCGCTATTTTATGACCCTTGGATAAGTTAAAAAAAAATTTTTTGTTTGAATGGCGGCAGTTTGAAAAAAAAATAATATTTTTTCATGTTTTTTTAACAATTCCGACTTTTTTAAAAATACTAAATGAAAAGTTATAATTTTGGGCAAGGTCCATACGATAAAGAGATGTATAGAGAAGATCCTCTCCAAATTTGAAGTAAATCGGTTCATTAGAACTCGAGATATCCTTACCGCCAGCTCGAAAAAAGTAGTTCCGAGAAAAACGCGTTCAAAGTTTTGATTCTCGGTCGGACCCGAACCGAGGCCACGTCACTAAAACGGATATAACTCAGGAAATAATAGTAATTTTGAAAAATCCTTTTAATGTCATATTTTTGAATAACTAAACTTTGATAATATGAAAAAAAAATTTTTTCGATTTTTCCAAAATTCTACAGTAGAATACCCCCTTATGGCAAAGTTGCCACTTACACTAAGATTATACACTTAATAATGATTTAGAAACAAAGCTTTCAATAGCCGCTTTTTGATTCGATCTCACTTTCAATTAAATTTATTATATACGGCCGCCTTCGGGTGATTTTGACTACGGTCGTTTTTTAAGTCACGATCGGCGGATTTTCAGGTCCTGGGCTTTTAATAAAACAAAAATAAATAGGCTTTGTATACTATGTATTCATATTAATAAACAATTACATACAAGGCACTGGTTAGGAGTAACAACCATAGTTGTAACTGAAATATATATTAAATAAAGTGCATTTAATATCCTGTGTATCAATATAAGTTGAGTGATTGATAAGGATTATAAGGCCGGACAGTTTCTAGGCTAATTTATCAGTTTTGTTGACTGTTTTTTTACAGTTTGTTCTCTAATATGTCTTCTTTCATGTTGCCTTAATAAATGTTTAGTTTTGAATGTTTTATTGCATGTCTCACATTCATAAGGTCTTTCTTCACTATGCACTGATAAATGCAATTTTAAACTATTTAACTGTATAAATTTTTTATTGCATATTTTGCACTCATGAGGCCGTTCTCCAGTATGAATTAATAAATGTCTTTTTAAATTACTTAACCGTGAAAATGTTTCTTTACATATTTTGCACTCATACGGACGTTCTCCACTATGGACCAATTTATGTGCATTTAAGTTTGGTTTCAATCTGAATTTTTTATTACATATTTCGCAAATATGAGGAAGTTCACCAGTATGGACTGATAAGTGCTGTCTTAAAGTACTTGACCGTGAAAATCTTTTATTGCATATTTTGCACTCATAAGGGCGTTCTCCAGTATGAATCATTTGATGTTGTTGTAAGCTTTGTTTTGCTGTGAATGTTTTATTGCATGATTCACATTTATACTGTTTCAAGTTATTAGTTGTTTCACTTTTGTTATCTGAAACTTCTTCAAATGATTTGTTCGTGCTATCCACTGAATTACTTGATTCACTGATCTTTTCATCACACATATATGAATTTTTATCTGAAACTGTTTTGTTTGTACTAGTCAAGTCATCTTGGTCATCAATCGTCTCTTGTTTTATTTCCTCGTCAATTGTAACCTCAGATTCTAAAAATTGCTGCAGACATATATCATGATCCATATAAAAATCTGACATTTCATAATCATCGAATTCCTGTTTCACGTGAGGATAGTCATCGAACGGTTCGATTTTAATTGTTGTGTTTGAATTTGTTTCTTCAGACATTTTTGAGGTTAGTTTGGTTACAACAGGCTAACTGGTGATGAGTTCTTAAAAATTAAGAAGTCTAAGCGTATAAAAATATATATGTTACGATTTTTACTATTTTGTTTGTTGTTTAATATGATTTAACACTAGCACTGACCTTTTAACTAAATTTATCTTCGAATTTAACTTTAATAATCCCATAAACCACTTTGACGTTTCTCCTCCATTTTGTTTTATAAACAACAGATCAAGTTGAAGTTAAACACAAATCAGCTGCGTGTTTTTCGGCGGCAAATTTGAAATCGCGACATAATTGAAAAGTGAATGTTCATATTTTTCAGTTTCAGATTATGCTGAGACTTGCAACGACAAACATATTATAATTTTTCATGGCTTTTTAGCAACGTTTTTCGGGCCAGCTGGTGTACATATATATATTTGTTCCGTTGAATCATCTCGAAGCTAATTGAACTAGTACCAGTCTATTAGCAATGCAAACGGTTTTCCCATCTCTATGATAAATTCATTGCCACAATTTTTGTATATTGCTATCTGTACTTTTAAATTCACTACTACTTGACATCATGCTGTCTGAGCACCTGAAACATCTGATTCTACACCTATTAATAAAATTTGCAAAACATATATTGTAAAGACTAGTGAATATATTTCGTATTAACAACAAAGAAAATACATCTTTAATTATATACATATAGATTAGAATTAGTTATTACAAATAAATATATACGTGTTTTCATTAAGAAACCATAAAAAATTTGTATGCACTTGTGGGAATCAAAGAGGCTATAAAGCCGGCCACAGACGTAACTGTATAACTGCGCAACCTGCGACTTGCACATGTATTCTGTAGCGTCTGTGGCGTGTTTTTTGCGCAACTGGACAGACTGGTGCAAGCGAGTAGGCATGAGCACTTTTCGATTATTTTAATTGCGCAATCGTTCAAGTCGGCAAGTTCCTTCGTTGGCCGCGTGTGGCAGCACATGTCTCGTTTCTATTTTACTTTGTAGCGAATTCATAATACAAAATTATGAATATATCGACAATTAAAAGTTATTAAATTAGCCCTATGAACACTTTGAATTCTCTTCTGATGCTGTAAATATATAAATTAATAAAAAAAATATATTTTTAGGTTATGTTTTGACATTTATTATTTGACATTTGTGATATGCTTGCGCAAGTACTTGAACATAAACTTGAACCGTCTGTGGGCGCTGTGAAAATACGCCTGGTTGCGCATTCATTCAGTTGCACAAGTGTACAGTTACGTCTGTGGCCGGCTTAAGATTTTAAGAAAAACAATATTCATATCATGACATTTTGTATAGTTTTGATAATGATAATTTTTAATACATTTTTATAAAACATAGAAATATATTTCTGTTAATTTATATATTTCTATACGGGTAACCCACGACATCTACAATGAATATACAATAACTAATACATTTTCGAAAATATATGAAAAAATGATTAAAGAAAGATTACTAAATTTGCTCATTCAAATAAATAGATAAACATCAATATGGTTTTCTCCCTTCATCAAATACACAAGGTGCCCTAATAGATTTGTCTAATACCATCAGTCTGGTATGTGGTATCAGGTGCTCTTGAGGAAAATATGCATACTAACAGCTGCCATTTTTATTGATTTACAAAAAGCTTTCGACACAGTAGATCATGGCATATTACTCAATAAACTAATTTTGATTTTGATTTGGGTGTAGAGGGTTTGTCTTAATAATTAAAGATTTTCTCATGGAAAGGATGATAACCTGTGGAGTCCCACAAGAAACTGTATTAGGACCTTTATTACATCTATTATACACCAATCATATTATATGCAGAGGATACTGCCATAGGATAAGGATAAAAAAAGACTCGAAGATACTGAAAATATACACCGAGTGGCTAACTGAAAATAAACTAGCAATTAACATCGATAAAACAAAATACATATATTTCAAACATAGAAAAAATACCGAGAACACTAAACTAAATATTAACGTAAATAATAGAGAAATAGAAGAAGTGGAAAGCATAAAATACTTAGGACTGATAATAAATGAAAAACTGACATGGACAGAACATATAAACAAAATAAAAAGAAACATAGGAACATTAACAGGGGCATTGAAAAGGATCCACTTTTTCGGCAAAAAAAATAAAATACTAATTCTTAAAACGCAAATAATATCTATAATTTTATATGGAATAACTTGAGAGGAAATATCATATGGAGCGCAGTAAAATATATAATGAATTGCCAAATGATATTAAGATGACCAATGATGACGATAAATTCAAAAGAAAAATAAAGAAATACTATAAGGAAATTGAAGACAAAGAAGACTGAAGAGTTATATATAAAAATATTTTAATTATAATAGATATTATATTAATGAAATAGTCCAATGATAAATGTATACATATTATATGAAAACTGTTTTTCATAATCTCTCATACCAGGCAACTCTGCCTGACTGAGATATGAAAATAATATATATATATATATATATATATATATATATAATTTAAAAAAATATATATATATATATAAAAAACCACGAATAATACAAATTAATTCAATAAACTTACGTTTCTTACACGACACGGATTTTTCATTTGTTTTTTTTTATTTCCATTAAAATTATTTACTGAAGACGGGATAAATTATTCTACCGATCCACATATTTTTTAATCAAATCGAGATTTCTACTAGGACGTAACCTTAAAATCTAATTACGTATGTGGCGTACGCCCTCGCACGTGACACGACGACCAATCACAATCGACCCGTATAGAAATGATATCATCGAGAGCGAATGACGAATCATTGGCACTCGACTCTTATTTGCCATAACGCACTTCCGTTGCATTTGCACAGATTTACACCCTAGTCGCGCCTAAAAGAGTTTTACTAAGAATATTGAAGAATTGAAGAACAAAAATAGTAATGTTTCGAATAAAACAAAAATAAATAGATTTTGTACTATGTATTGATATTATTAAACAATTACATACAAGGCACTAGTTTAGAATAACTGAAATATATATTAAATAAAGTGCATTTAATATCCTGTGTATCAATATAAGTTGAGTGATTGATAAGGATTATAAGGCCGGACAGTTTCTAGGCTAATTTATCAGTTTTGTTGACAGTTTTTTTACAGTTTATTCTCTAGAATGTCTTCTTTCATGTCGCCTTAATGAATGTTTTTGTTTTGAATCTTTTATTGCATGTCACATGATAAGGGCGTTCTTCAGTATGCACTGATAAATGCTGATAAATACTTAACTGTAAAAATGTTTTATCGCATATATTACACTCATACGGCCGTTTTCCAGTATGTACAATTTCATGTTGATATAAATTAGTTTTGTTTTGTATCTTTTATTGCATATGTCACATGCATAAGGTCGTTCTTCACTATGCACTGATAAATGCCTTATTAAATTAGCTAATGTGAAAATGTTTTATTGCATATTTTGCACTCATTACGGCGTTCTCCAGTATGAACTGTTTTATGTCGCATTAATATACGTTTTTGCTGAATGTTTATTACATATTTCACATGCGTAAGGTCGTTCTTCAGTATGCACTGATAAATGCCTTTTTAAACTACTTGACTGTGAAAATGTTTTATTGCATATTTTGCACTCATTAAGGCGTTCTCCAGTATGAACTGTTTTATGTTGCCTTTAAGTTTTGTTCTGAATGTTTTATTACATATTTCACATTCATAAGGTGTTCTTCAGTATGCACTGATAAATGCTCTCTTAAACTAGTTGACCGTGAAAATCTTTTATTGCATATGTTGCACACATGAGGACTTTTTTCAGTGTGAATCATTTTATGTTGTTTTAAAATTTTTTTTTTTTGAATGTTTTATTACATATTTCGCACACATAAGGACGTTCTCCAGTATGAACTGTTTTATGTTGCATTAATATAGGTTTTGTTCTGAATGTTTTATTACATATTTCACATGCATAAGGTCGTTCTTCAGTATGCACTGATAAATGCTGTGTTAAAGTACTTGACCGTAAAAATCTTTTATTGCATATTTTGCACTCATGAGGCAGTTCCCCAGAGTGTATAATTTTATGTTGGTTTAAGTTACGTTTTGCTGTAAATGTTTTATGGCATATTTCACATGTATACAGTTTCAATTTATTAGTTGTTTCACTTTTTCCTGAAATTTCTTCAAATGATTTGTTCGTGCTATCTACTAAATTACTTGATTCACTGATCTCTTCACAACATATATAAGAACTTTCATCTAATACAGTTTTGTTTGTACTAGTCACATCGTCTTGGTCGTCAATTGTCTCTAGTTTGATTTCCTCGTCAATTGTAACCTCAGATTTTAGAAATTGCTGCCGACATATATCATCATCCATATACAAATCTAGTGTATTTTCATAATCATCAAATTCCTGTTTCACTTGAGGATAATCATCGATCGGTTCGGTTTTAATTGTTTTGTTTGAATTTGTTTCCACAGACATGTTTGAAGTTTGTAGGTTATAATAAACTGGTGATGAGTTCTTAAAAATTGAGAAGTCTAAGTGTATAATAATATATGTGTTTCGATATTTACTAATTCGTTTATTGTTTAATATGATATAATGCTAACACTGAGCTTTTTACTAAATTTATCTTCGAATTCAACTTTAATAATTCCATAAAACACTTTGACATTCTTCCTCCATTTTGTTTTTATGAACAAGTGACCAGGTTGGACAACATTGAGCACATTTTAAATGCGAGTTTTTCGGCGGCAAAATTTGAAATCCGAAATTATTATTAATTTTAACAAAAAAAACATAAAATCTGAACATATAAAGTTTTTGAGAGGGAACAAATAAATAGATATGTGTCTTCATTAAGAAACCATATAAAGTATGTATGAACTTGTGGGAATCAAAGCGGCTATGAGTTTTTAAGAAAGAGCTACTTAAAAAGTACGCCCAGTCCTCGGCTCATCTCGAAATACAACAAATTGTATTTTCTAGTGAAAATCATAAATTTCTCTCTTATAGAATTTTATAAAAATAGTAAGGCTTTGACAGGGCCGTGCCTGGGTATGTGGCCGCCTGCGTGCGAGCGTTTTTTGGCCGCCCTTGAAAATAACATAATAGGATAAAATCAAATATGTTCTCACAAAAAATCGACTTGTAATTTTTATGTTTTTTCAACGTTTCTAGTCATTCTGAATCAAATTTGAAAAAGAAATGTGTATATGAGCTGATTTTTGTTTTCTTGTCAATGTCTTCTTAAAAACGGTTAAGTTGTTTTCAAAAATTTAAAAGTTATTTGATGTAACTAGATAACGACTACCGTCTGTCAGTTTTGTCCAACATTCGGCCAAGTCGTTTCTAATCAACAACTAGTTGGTTTGGTATTTAGCCTTGAGGCAAGTTACATGAACTTCCCGATATGTGTAAATAATCGACTTAATAAAAAAAAATGTGTAAATAATATTCTTTATCAATCCTACTTTGAAAAAAAAACAATAATAATTTTAGCAAACTTTGACGAATTTGTAAAATTAAACTACTTGTCGTAAGGCCATAATATTACAGTAAGTTCTATAAGACCATGATGTATATCGCCAAAAAAAGTGCCATGAAAATCGTCTTAAATTTTTTTTCAACAGGTAATTACAAGAAAACGGCTCGGTAGATTTTCACCTAAAATTAATCAGTACCATTCCTAACTAATATCTTTCGAACAATTTTTGATTTTTTAAAATCGGTTCGGTAGGATGAGCTTAAATGTGGACGAAAAGTTTAACACTTTTTTTTCAAATTACAAAGAAACGGCTTGGCAGATCGTTGCACAAAACTGACAAACGATAGTCCTCACCGAAATACATCAAATGGCTTTTAAATTTCTAAAATCGGTTCAGGCGCTTTTGAGAAATCGTCGATCAAAAGTCTAATTTTGACAAATGCCAAAACGACCATACTGATTTTTGCAAACTTTGACGAATTTTTAAAGCTAAACTAGTTGTCGTAGGGCCGTAATATTTTAGTGTGATCTAGAAGACTATGGTATCTATCGCCAAAAACATAATCATAAAAATCGTCAAAAATTTTTTTTTAAAAACTTTATTACAAGAAAACGGCCCGGCCGATCTCTACCAAAAACTAATCAGCACGATTCCCAACCAATATCTTTCGAACGGTTTTTGAATTTTCAAAATCGATTCAGAATTGCGGGCTAAAACGTAGACGAAAAATTTTTCACACTTCTGCCATTTATAAAGAAACGGCTTGGCCGATCGTCGCACAAAACTGACAAACAATAGTCCTCGTCGAAATACATCGCTTTTAAATTTTTGAAATCGACCCAGCCGTTTTCGAGAAAACGTCGATTTACGGCAAAAAATCTGTTCACACACACACACACACACATACTTTTTCCTTAAATTTTGTCTCATTCGATTCAGAATGGCTTGAAACGTCGAGAAAACATAAAATTAGCGAATCGAATTTTTTAATGAAAACATAAACTTCTCCTTCGGGAAGTTAAAAAAGTGTACAAATTTTCGTACACGTTTTAGCCAAAAATTCTGCATCGTTTTTAAACATTCAGAAGCTGTTTGAAAGATATCATTTGGGAATCGTGCTGATTAGTTTTAAGAGATCGGCCGGATCGTTTCTTCGTATTTACTTGTTAAATATTTTTTACGATGATATTTATAAATTTCGGCGATAGAGATCATGATCTCAAATTTAACTAAATATTTCGACCTTACGACAAGTCGTTTTAATTTTCAAAATATTATAAAAATTTCATCTTTATTCGATGGTTTTCTCAAAAATGCGCAGTCCTATTTGAAAATTCGATACAATTCGATAAGCACGTGCTGGTTCATGCTGGTTAATTTTGCCTCACGATCGGCCGAGCCGTTTCTTTAGAATTGTCATGAAAGTGTCAAATTTTTCGTCCACGTTACAGCCTAAATTCGTGTATCGATTTTAAAAATTCAACTAGCTGTAAGTGGAATTCTGTCTTAAGGCAATTAAGGCATCGTACCTTAAGGCAAATTGCTGGAACTTCCCGTACCAAAAATTATTATTTTTTTAAAAACGATTAACATTTTTGAAAAAAATTTACTTCGAAAAAATAAGATTTTTGACAAACAATTAGACAAAAAATTATTTTTTTTTGAAAAAAAAATTTTATTAATTTTTTTGTTTTAATTTTTTTTTTGAAAAAAAATGTTTTCTTTATTTTGAAATATTTTGAAAGATCTAAACTTTTTTTCAAAGCAATCGTACTGCTTTAACTGCATAAAGACGAAATATCAAACCGCGTAAGCGCCGCGTCGACGTCTAACGCGTAAACATTGGTACGGAACCCATAGGAATGTAAACCAAAATTATACTTATTGTTAAAATCTCTATAAAATATCTGATAATTTGATGTGCATATGTCTAATGATCATTTTTGACCGCCAAATGGCATTTTTTTTTTACTTTTTTCATTAGATCTCCGAAACCGCTGAACCTGCCTTTATGAAAATTTGATCGGTTCTTCACCTTGTCAATACAAGTAAAATGTTTTTTGAATTATTAAAAATCGGACGCTCCGTTCTCTTAAAAACTGAGTTACCGTTTTCGGCACTTTTTGCCCCGTATCTTCGGAACGGCTAGACCTGCCTTCGCCAAAAACTAATCAGCACGACTTCTTATCAATACGAATCGAATGTTTTTTGAATTATTCAAATTGCTTCGTTCGTGTTCCCGAAATCGTCGACGAAAATTTGTATCCGCACACACACACATACATCCATTCTTTCTAAGGTATGCCAAAATGTTCAGAAACCTCTGAAAAGTAAAGATATATAAAAATTTTCATTTTCGATTTTTTTGCGATTACTATAACTAGCCATACGGAAAGTTAAAAACCATTTGAGAATTGGATTAGTTGATGTTTTTGTCAATGATCGGTCGAGTCGTTTCTCAGTTATTGATCAACAATTTTTTTTAGCGATTTTGGATCCTGTTCTTAATGAACATACTACACGTTTATTTCTTGTTCAATAATATATAATTTTTTAACCATTTTTAAAAAAATAACTAATATGTTTAGAAAATTTGTACAAAATTGAATAATCTGCGATAGTTTTTCACATTACAATTCATTCATGATTTAATATATTTTTATAGTTATGTCGATTATTTACACATGTTTAAAAAATCATGTATCTTGCTTTAAGGGGGTATTCTACTGTAGAGGTATGAATTTCGCCTGGATTTTGAAGCGCTGTATAAAGGAAACAAATAATATTTTTACCGTCGATTTTTTTATCATTTGTTTGTTGATATTTTATTATTACACAAAAAAATTATTAGAAAAAAAAATTAAAATTCACAAAGTTATGAGCAGTCAAAGTAGGGGCTCAAAAAAAAAAGAATGTCCTAGCGTGCATGATTCCAAACCTCCTGGTGATTTGAAACATAAAAAATAAATAGATTCTTAATTATTATAGATGCCGCTATCTTATGAACCTTGGATATGTTAAAAGAAAAAAAATTGTTTGAATGGCGGCAGTTTGAAAAAAAAATAATTTTTTTTCATGTTTTTTTAACAATTCCGAATTTTTTAAAAATACTAAATGAAAAGTTATAGCTTTGGGAAAGGTCCATGCGATAAAGCGATGTATAGAGAAGATCCTCTCCAAATTTGAAGTAAATCGGTTCATTAGAACTCGAGATATCCTTACCGCCAGCTCAAAAAAAGTAGTTCCGAGAAAAACGCGTTCAAAGTTTTGAGACTCGGTCGGACCCGAACCGAGGCCACGTCACTAAAACGGATATAACTCAGGAAATAATAGTAATTTTGCAAAATCCTTTTAATGACATATTTTTGAATAACTAAACTTTGATAATATGAAAAAAAAATTTTTTCGATTTTTTCAAAATTCTACAGTAGAATACACCCTTAAAGAATAAAAAACTTGGTATTATTATATCAGACTTTAAAAACAGTTTAGCATAATTTGGTCGCAAGTATGAGAGTATTTTCTATTTCTTACACTAAGATTATACACTTAATAATGATTTAGAAACAAAGCTTTCAATAGCCGCTTTTTGATTCGATCTCACTTTCAATTAAATTTATTATATACGGCCGCCTTCCGGTGATTTTGACTACGATCGTTTTTTAAGTCACGATCGGCGGATTTTCAGGTGCACGCACTGCACACTGGCCAGGCACGGCCCTGGGCTTTTAATAAAACAAAAATAAATAGCATTTGTACTATGTATTAATATTATTAAACAATTACATACAAGGCATTGGTCAGGAGTAACAACCAGAGTTGTAACTGAAATATATATTAAATAAATTGCATTTAATATCCTGTGTATCAATATAAGTTGTGTAATGGATAAGGATTATAAGGTCGGGCAGTTTCTAGACTTGTTCAACTAACTTGTTGACTGTTTTTTTACAGTTTGTTCTCTAATATGTCTTCTTTCATGTTGCCTTAATAAATGTTTAGTTTTGAATGTTTTATTGCATGTCTTGCATTCATAAGGATGTTCTTCAATATGCAGTGACAAATGCCGTCTTAAAGAACTTGCCATTGAAAATCTTTTATTGCATATTTTGCACTCATGAGGCCGTTCTCCAGTATGTACTATTTTATGTTCAGTTAATGCTTGTTTTCTTTTGAATTTTTTGAAGTAAAACTTCTTTAGGCGCGATATGGGTGTAAAAATTTTTAGGCGCGACACGGGTGTAAATCCGTACAAATGCAACGAAAACGCCAATGTGAAGTTGAACACTACGACGCCGTAAGCGCTGATGTCGCGAGTATCCACTCCCGTCATGTCATGCGTAAGTCGAGCGCTAAACCCTATATGAACTTGCATTAATTGAATCACGTTTTTTATGTTATGTCCGCATGGAATAAGACTTTTCTTAGAGAATAAATGTGTCATGAAATATAATAAATTTATACTGAATCTCGTTGAAGACAAAATAATATCTACTGCCACGGATATTTATGTAGGTTGCCATGCGACAGATCAACAATCATACATTCGTCAGCAGTTTCACAAAAATCGGTTATTGATACCGGGGCTTTGCCGTATGAAATAATTTTAGTTCTGAATAAATTTTACATAATAACAACTAATATTGATGTAAGTGATGGCTTAGCTAATGGTTGTGTGGGAAAATTAGTGTACATAGAACGTGGCGATAATGATGAACTTCTACGTTTATGGTTTGAATTTCCCGGTAAGATAGGTAACAAAATTAGGAAGAAAGCTTCACATCATATTCAAACTCTTAATATCAGTAGGACAGCTGTGCCGATGCTCAGGAGATCTTATTATTATTGATGTTATATGATTATTAAAAGATGATTTTTAAAATTCAAATATGATGTTTTTTTATTTTTATCTTAATTGCCTACTCATACAATATTAAAAGTTTTACTTCAATCGCGTGTGATCCTTACGCGCACTCTTTTTTTTTATTGCACATTTCACAATCATAAGCACGTTCTTCATTATGCATTAATATATGTCTTTTTAAATGACTTAACACTAAAAATGTTTTTTTGCATATTACGCACTCATGAGGGCGTACTCCAGTATGGACCAGTTTATGCTGATTTAAGTATTCTTTCAATCTGAATTTTTCATTACATATTTCACAAATATAAGGACGTTCTCCTGTATGCACTGATAAATGCTTTCTTAAATTACTTATCAGTGCAAATCTTTTATTGCATATATTACACTCATGACAGCGTTCTCCAGTATGTACTATTTTATGTTGAGTTAATGTTTCTTTTCTTTTGAATTTTTTATTGCACATTTCACAATCATAAGCACGTTCTTCACTATGTACTGATGAATGCTTTCTTAAATTACTTATCAGTGCAAATCTTTTATTGCATATTTCGCACTCATGAGGCCGTTCTCCAGTATGGATCAATTCATGTCGGTCTAAGCCTTGTTTTGCTACAAATGTTTTACTGCATGATTTACATTTATATTTCAACTTACTAGTTGTCTTACGTTTTCCTGAAACTTTTTTAAATGATTTGTTTGTACTATTGACTATCATACTTGATTCACTGATCTCGTCGTTACATATGGAAGAATTTTCATCTAAAACTGCTTTGTTTGTACTAGTTATGTCATCTTGGTCATCAATCGTCTCTTGTTTTATTTCCTCGTCAATTGTAACCTCAGATTTAAGAAATTGCTGCAGACATATATCATCATCCATATATAAATCTGATGTATTGTCATAATTATCAAATTCCTGTTTCACTTGAGGATAATCATCGAACGGTTCGGTTTTAATTGTTGTGTTTGAATTTGTTTCTTCAGACATTTTTGAGGTTAGTTTGGTTACAACAGGCTAACTGGTGATGAGTTCTTAAAAATTAAGAAGTCTAAGTGTATAAAAATATATATGTTACGATTTTCACTATTTTGTTCGTTGCTTAATATGATTTAACACTAACACTGACCTTTTTACTAAATTTATCTTCGAATTTAACTTTAACAATTCCATAAACCACTTTGACGTTTCTCCTCCATTTTGTTTTATAATAAACAACAGTTCAAGTTGAAGTTAAACACAAATCAGCTGCGTGTTTTTCGGCGGCAAATTTGAAATCGCAACATAATTGAAAAGTAAATGTTCATGTTTTTCAGTTTCAGATTATGCTGAGACTTGCAACGACAAACATATTATAATTTTTCATGACTTTTTAGCAACGTTTTTCGGGCCAGCTGGTGTACATATATATATTTGTTCCGTTGAATCATCTCGAAGCTAATTGAACTAGTACCCATAGATAAGTAAACATAAATAGATCGCTATCTGAGGCCATTTGACATTACCGCCATTTTATTATTTTTAGCGATCTGAAGAAGGCAGCACTTGTTCAGTATATAAATCAACTGCTGGTATTATTCCTAGATATGGTTCGCATACGTAATTCAAAATAAGAAAACCTAAATAATTTCTTATATTGCAAATGAGAAAAAAAACATACGAAGTACAAAATATATTTTCAAATATATCACAAACATTTTTACATAACAATTAAAATTTTTATAAATGCAATAATCAATATATACATAATAATAAGTATTATAATTTTACAATTATAAGTAACTAAAAAAAGTATTCACAATGGTATGATAAATTTACAAGGAACAATCAATATGAATTATTGAATGATCAATAATATATAACAACTACACAGAAATATTGTAAAAGTTTTCATAAGTATAATGAATTTACACAAACTGACTAAGTAATGATTGTGTTTCAAGAACTTCATGTAATTAAAATTAACATACATTCATTGACTGTTTTACTTTTTCGTTGGCGATACAGTCTCATTCTTTGAGCAGCTGTAATATCTCTCTTGCCTATAAAATTAATTTCTAAAAATATATAGTAACCACAAATAATACAAATTATTTCAATAAACTTACGTTTCTCACACGGCACGGATTTTTCATTTGTTTTTTTTTTCGCTATAATTATTTACTGAAGACGGAATAAATTATTCTACCCATCCACATATTCTTTAATCAAATCAAGATTTCTACTAGGACTTGACCTTAAAATCTAATTACGTATGTGACGTATGCCCTCGCACGTGACACGACGACCAATCACAATCGACCCGTATAGAAATGATATCATCGAGAGCGAATGACGAATCATTCACACTCGACTCTTATTTATGCCGTAACGCTCTTCCGTTGCATTTGCACAGATTTACACCCTAGTCGTGCCTAAAGGAGTTTTACTAAGAAAATTGAAGAATTGAAGAACAAAAATAGTAATATTTTGAATAAAACAAAAATAAATAGGTTTTGTACTATGTATTTATATTAATAAACAATTACATACAAGGCATTAGTTTAGAGTAACTGAAATATATATTAAATAAAGTGCATTTAATATCTTGTGTATCAATATAAGTTGAGTGATTGATAAGGATTATAAGGCCGGACAGTTTCTAGGCTAATTTATCAGTTTTGTTGACAGTTTTTTTACAGTTTATTCTCAAGTATGTCCTCTTTCATGTCGCATTAATATATTTTTTGTTTTGTATCTTTTATTGCATATGTCACATGGATAAGGTCGTTCTTCAGAATGCACTGATAAATGCACTGATAAATTACATAACTGTAAAAATCTTTTATTGCATATTTTGCACTCATACGGCCGTTTTCCAGTATGTACAATTTTATGTTGATATAAATTAGGTTTTGTTTTGTATCTTTTATTGCATATGTCACATGCATAAGGTCGTTCTTCACTATGCACTGATAAATGCCTTATTAAATTAGCTGAATGTGAAAATGTTTTATTGCATATTTTGCACTCATTACGGCGTTCTCCAGTATGAACTGTTTTATGTCGCATTAATATACGTTTTGTTCTGAATGTTTTATTACATATTTCACATGCGTAAGGTCGTTCTTCAGTATGCACTGATAAATGCCTTTTTAAACTACTTGACTGTGAAAATGTTTTATTGCATATTTTGCACTCATTACGGCGTTCTCCAGTATGAACTGTTTTATGTTGCCTTAATATAAGTTTTGTTCTGAATGTTTTATTACATATTTCACATTCATAAGGTTGTTCTTCAGTATGCACTGATAAATGCTCTCTTAAACTAGTTGACCGTGAAAATCTTTTATTGCATATGTTGCACACATGAGGACTTTTTTCAGTGTGAATCATTTTATGTTGTTTTAAAATTTTTTTTATTTTGAATGTTTTATTACATATTTCGCACACATAAGGACGTTCTCCAGTATGAACTGTTTTATGTTGCATTAATATAAGTTTTGTTCTGAATGTTTTATTACATATTTCACATGCATAAGGTCGTTCTTCAGTATGCACTGATAAATGCTGTGTTAAAGTACTTGACCGTAAAAATCTTTTATTGCATATTTTGCACTCATGAGGCAGTTCCCCAGAGTGTATAATTTTATGTTGGTTTAAGTTACGTTTTGCTGTAAATGTTTTATGGCATATTTCACATGTATACAGTTTCAATTTATTAGTTGTTTCACTTTTTCCTGAAATTTCTTCAAATGATTTGTTCGTGCTATCTACTAAATTACTTGATTCACTGATCTCTTCACAACATATATAAGAACTTTCATCTAATACAGTTTTGTTTGTACTAGTCACATCGTCTTGGTCGTCAATTGTCTCTAGTTTGATTTCCTCGTCAATTGTAACCTCAGATTTTAGAAATTGCTGCCGACATATATCATCATCCATATACAAATCTAGTGTATTTCATAATCATCAAATTCCTGTTTCACTTGAGGATAATCATCGATCGGTTCGGTTTTAATTGTTTTGTTTGAATTTGTTTCCACAGACATGTTTGAAGTTTGTAGGTTATAATAAACTGGTGATGAGTTCTTAAAAATTGAGAAGTCTAAGTGTATAATAATATATGTGTTTCGATATTTACTAATTCGTTTATTGTTTAATATGATATAATGCTAACACTGAGCTTTTTACTAAATTTATCTTCGAATTCAACTTTAATAATTCCATAAACCACTTTGACATTCTTCCTCCATTTTGTTTTTATGAACAAGTGACCAGGTTGGACAACATTGAGCACATTTTAAATGCGAGTTTTTCGGCGGCAAAATTTGAAATCCGAAATTATTATTAATTTTAACAAAAAAAACATAAAATCTGAACATATAAAAGTTTTTGAGAGGGAACAAATAAATAGATATGTGTCTTCATTAAGAAACCATATAAAGTATGTATGAACTTGTGGGAATCAAAGCGGCTATGAGTTTTTAAGAAAGAGCTACTTAAAAAGTACGCCCAGTCCTCGGCTCATCTCGAAATACAACAAATTGTATTTTCTAGTGAAAATCATAAATTTCTCTCTTATAGAATTTTATAAAAATAGTAAGGCTTGACAGGGCCGTGCCTGGGTATGTGGCCGCCTGCGTGCGAGCGTTTTTTGGCCGCCCTTGAAAATAACATAATAGGATAAAATCAAATATGTTCTCACAAAAAATCGACTTGTAATTTTTATGTTTTTTCAACGTTTCTAGTCATTCTGAATCAAATTTGAAAAAGAAATGTGTATATGAGCTGATTTTTGTTTTCTTGTCAATGTCTTCTTAAAAACGGTTAAGTTGTTTTCAAAAATTTAAAAGTTATTTGATGTAACTAGATAACGACTACCGTCTGTCAGTTTTGTCCAACATTCGGCCAAGTCGTTTCTAATCAACAACTAGTTGGTTTGGTATTTAGCCTTGAGGCAAGTTACATGAACTTCCCGATATGTGTAAATAATCGACTTAATAAAAAAAAATGTGTAAATAATATTCTTTATCAATACTACTTTGAAAAAAAAAACAATAATAATTTTAGCAAACTTTGACGAATTTGTAAAATTAAACTACTTGTCGTAAGGCCATAATATTACAGTAAGTTCTATAAGACCATGATGTATATCGCCAAAAAAAGTGCCATGAAAATCGTCTTAAATTTTTTTTCAACAGGTAATTACAAGAAAACGGCTCGGTAGATTTTCACCTAAAATTAATCAGTACCATTCCTAACTAATATCTTTCGAACAATTTTTGATTTTTTAAAATCGGTTCGGTAGGATGAGCTTAAATGTGGACGAAAAGTTTAACACTTTTTTTCAAATTACAAAGAAACGGCTTGGCAGATCGTTGCACAAAACTGACAAACGATAGTCCTCACCGAAATACATCAAATGGCTTTTAAATTTCTAAAATCGGTTCAGGCGCTTTTGAGAAATCGTCGATCAAAAGTCTAATTTTGACAAATGCCAAAACGACCATACTGATTTTTGCAAACTTTGACGAATTTTTAAAGCTAAACTAGTTGTCGTAGGGCCGTAATATTTTAGTGTGATCTAGAAGACTATGGTATCTATCGCCAAAAAATAATCATAAAAATCGTCAAAAATTTTTTTTTAAAAACTTTATTACAAGAAAACGGCCCGGCCGATCTCTACCAAAAACTAATCAGCACGATTCCCAACCAATATCTTTCGAACGGTTTTTGAATTTTCAAAATCGATTCAGAATTGCGGGCTAAAACGTAGACGAAAAATTTTTCACACTTCTGCCATTTATAAAGAAACGGCTTGGCCGATCGTCGCACAAAACTGACAAACAATAGTCCTCGTCGAAATACATCGCTTTTAAATTTTTGAAATCGACCCAGCCGTTTTCGAGAAAACGTCGATTTACGGCAAAAAATCTGTTCACACACACACACACACACATACTTTTTCCTTAAATTTTGTCTCATTCGATTCAGAATGGCTTGAAACGTCGAGAAAACATAAAATTAGCGAATCGAATTTTTTGATGAAAACATAAACTTCTCCTTCGGGAAGTTAAAAAAGTGTACAAATTTTCGTACACGTTTTAGCCAAAAAATTCTGCATCGTTTTTAAACATTCAGAAGCTGTTTGAAAGATATCATTTGGGAATCGTGCTGATTAGTTTTAAGAGATCGGCCGGATCGTTTCTTCGTATTTACTTGTTAAATATTTTTTACGATGATATTTATAAATTTCGGCGATAGAGATCATGATCTCAAATTTAACTAAATATTTCGACCTTACGACAAGTCGTTTTAATTTTCAAAATATTATAAAAATTTCATCTTTATTCGATGGTTTTCTCAAAAATGCGCAGTCCTATTTGAAAATTCGATACAATTCGATAAGCACGTGCTGGTTCATGATGGTTAATTTTGCCTCACGATCGGCCGAGCCGTTTCTTTAGAATTGTCATGGAAGTGTCAAATTTTTCGTCCACGTTATAGCCTAAATTCGTGTATCGATTTTAAAAATTCAACTAGCTGTAAGTGGAATTCTGTCTTAAGGCAATTAAGGCATCGTACCTTAAGGCAAATTGCTGGAACTTCCCGTACCAAAAATTATTATTTTTTTAAAAACGAAAAAATAAGATTTTTGACAAACAATTAGACAAAAAATTATTTTTTTTTGAAAAAAAAATTTTTTATTAATTTTTTTTTTGAAAAAAAATGTTTTCTTTATTTTGACATATTTTGGAAGATCTAAACTTTTTTTCAGAGCAATCGTACTGCTTTAACTGCATAAAGACGAAATATCAAACCGCGTAAGCGCCGCGTCGACGTCTAACGCGTAAACATTGGTACGGAACCCATAGGAATGTAAACCAAAATTATACTTATTGTTAAAATCTCTATAAAATATCTGATAATTTGATGTGCATATGTCTAATGATCATTTTTGACCGCCAAATGGCATTTTTTTTTTTACTTTTTTCATTAGAGCTCCGAAACCGCTAGACCTGCCTTTATGAAAATTTGATCGGTTCTTTACCTTGTCAATACAAGTAAAATGTTTTTTGAATTATTAAAATCGGACGCTCCGTTCTCTTAAAAACTGAGTTACCGTTTTCGGCACTTTTTGCCCCGTATCTCCGGAACGGCTAGACCTGACTTCGGCAAAAACTAAACAACACGTCTCCTTATCAATACGAATCGAATGTTTTTTAAATTATTCAAATCGGTTGATCGGTGTTCCCGAAATCGTCGACGAAAATTTGTATCCGCACATACATACACACACGCACACACACACACATCCATTTGGTTTCTGAGGTATGCCAGTAAAATATTCAGAAACCTTTGAAACGTCGAGAAATGCAAAAATTTTCATTTTCGATTTTTTTGCGATTACTAATAATAACTTAGTTGATGTTTTTGTCAATGATCGGTCGAGTCGTTTCTCAGTTATTGATTAACACATTTTTTTAGCGATTTTGGATCCTGTTCTTAATGAACATACTACACGTTTATTTCTTGTTCAATAATATATAATTTTTTAACCATTTTTAAAAAATTACTGATATGTTTAGAAAATTTGTACAAAATTGAATAATCGGCGATAGTTTTTCACATTACAATTCATTCATGATTTAATATATTTTTATAATTATGTCGATTATTTACACATGTTTAAAAAATCATGCATCTTGTTTTAAGGCAAAGTTGCCACTTACACCAAGATTATACACTTAATAATGATTTAGAAACAAAGCTTTCAATAGCCGCTTTTTGATTCGATCTCACTTTCAATTAAATTTATTATATACGGCCGCCTTCGGGTGATTTTGACTACGGTCGTTTTTTAAGTCACGATCGGCGGATTTTCAGATGCACGCGCTGCACGCTGGCCAGGCACGGCCCTGGGCTTTTAATAAAACAAAAATAAATAGTCTTTGTATACTATGTATTTATATTAATAAACAA